TGTGAAACTAAGTGAAACATCGCTTATTTTTATATTCAAAAACTCATTCCAGGTCTCTTTGTATTATTTTAAGGTTTAAAAAATCAAATTATACCAACTTTTTTCTCTCAATTCCTTTGACTAAATGCAATAAAAAATTTTGCTTTGAACATACCTATGTATAAAAATTGTGTATTTTCATAAATACTAAATGTCTTTACAAAATACAATGCTTTGATTAATTTTAAGTAGATTAAAAATCAGTCTAGCTATAAAGCCTGTTTGTGCAACTTAATGTGTAGAAATAATAAAATTTGATCTTTCTTGAATTTTTATAGCTATCATTTAATTTTAGGTTCTATTTCAATAAAACCTCATATGTCTGGAACTCTCTGTTTTTCTGCCAGCTTTGCCCTGATGTGGTTCATAAATATGTCAAGAAAATCTAATAAATCTTTCATGACCATATATTAATATTTTAATTGCAATTAAAGGAACAAAGAAAAGACTGACTTCTACAGATTGTAATTTTTTAATGTCATGTTTCAAATTAGCAATAACAATGTTGTTTTTCTATAATGGCTTTACCCATGACTTAGATTCATGTAAAAAAAATCTAGTCTTGAGGGCATTGAAGTAACTGCAAAACGTTATTGAGTTGCTTTTTAAAAAATTCTCTTATTACTTATCTCGAAAGGAACTTATCTCTAATGGCTCTCTGAGATAAACCTGTGCTGCCATCAGGCTCAGAGAATTCACTGACATTATCTCTACCCACAATGCCTTCAGAAATTGAAGAGATGACACCTACCTCCTTTTGCAAAAATCATTAGCAAGAATGTCTCTTGGACATACAAATCTTTTATTTGCCATGAGTCTACAACACAGTCACTATGTCTACTGTATGAACCTGAAAACAACCTCAAGGGGAAGGACTTCTAATAATGTTGTTTATTATTTCTGTAAACTGTTTAGATTAATTTTATCAAGTAATTAGAGAAAATAAGAAAAGTTTCTCTGTGAGACAGGAAGTCTTAAGAAATGTATTTGGTCTGTGATCCTCTTTTTGTGTTGTTGCTGTTGTTATTCACTATTTATTTGTTGTCTCTTAGAAGAGTGTTTCTCTTGGGAGTGACTTCTCAGTACAATATGGTTCATTCAAAAGTCCTTTCTGGTCAAGAGATTTTTCTGGAAGCAGAGGTTGATATCTACATAGTGTGAAGAGATAGGTGGGAGAAAATAATTATGAAATACTAGTGTTGAAAGAGAAGGCAAACTCAGTTATAAAATGGGAATTTCATCCAGATTCCAAAGATGTTTGTAGAGAGAGCTGAAAGGTATCCTTGTCTCTAAATAAATGCTGCTCTTTGGAACCAAACAGACTTCCAATACATCTGTGAACAGATATTCAATCTCAATAGCACTGGGAATCGCAAATCCACAGTGAGACGCCACACCCACCAGATTGGCAAAGATTTTTGCAAGCATGCGCAGCAATGGAAACTTCATGTATGGCAGTGGAGTATAAACTGGTTCAACACATTGGAAAACAACTTAAAGCAACTTTAACTATAGAGTATCCCCTATGGCCTAACAGCTCTACTCCTAGGTATGTATATACCTCAGAAAACTCTTCCACATGTGTACCAAGGAACATGTACAAGAGCATTCAGAACAGCCTGATTTGGGCAAAAAGAAAAACTTGTAATGCATGATTGTTTCTTTTGCTGACCTGCAGGCATTATAAAAAGCATTGAGCCCACAATTTTCGGGCTTTTTTGTTTTCACTGATATCTCACCTCATACAGGCCACTGAAACTAGGGATCTTTCAGGGCACATTCAGGAGACGCAAAGAAGGCAGTGGGGAGCAGGAGCCACCTCCAACCACCTACATCCTTATTTCATGTACATCCTTTACGCCTTTTGCACTACTATTTCATTACTCTGGGAATAAATCAAAGTACAAGCAATTTTTAACCAAATCTATTCTCATCCATCCTTGGACCTGGACCAGGCTCTATAACCTGGTCTTGCTCTTATGTTTTATGTAAATATTGAACTTAAAAATGGTAACCTTTTTTCCCACTTTTTCTGTCAAAATTATACTTCTGCCTCTCTCCATAGTTCTGACACAGTACTATCCCAATCCCCTTGTAATACAGCTATTTGAGTTTGAGTTTGGGGTTCTCTACCTAATTGTAAATTCCTTTTGGAAAGGTCCTACTGTTACTAAATGTTGTAGCCTTAAGGGCAAGCCTTGACTATAGTGGGTTGCACAAGGCGTACCTGGCACATTAAAAACCCTGATTTGGGGGAGAAGCATCTTTGGAGAGTAGAAGGGACAGCGGCTCTCTCACATGCTGATATCCTTGAACAGAGTATATAGATCTCCCCAAGCATCATCAAATGAGAATACTTTAACATCTCAGAGATGCTATGAATATTAAACGAAATAGCATGAGAAAGTGCCTGACTTAAAGATGTTCCTTAAGAAATGTCAGTTTGTTCTTTATTTTCATGTCTTTGATTCTGTTTTGCTCATTTCTTTGTTTTGTTGATTAGATTCCACTTATAGGTGAGATCATATAGAATTCAACTTTCACCGCCTGGCTTATTTCACTTAGCATAATGCTCTCCAGTTCCATCCATGCTGCTGTGAAGGTTAGGAGCTGCCTCTTTCTTTCTGCTGCATAGAATTCCGCCGTGTAAATGTATCATGGTTTTTTGATCCACTCATTTGCTGATGGGCACTTAGGCTGCTTCCAGCACTTGGTTATTGTAAATAACCCTGCTATGAACATTGGGGTGCCTAGGTTCTTTTGAATTGTGACCAGAGTGGTGGGGGGAGGGTATAAGGGCAAAAAGAAGAGGACAAAGAGGATAAAGGGGGCAAGTCAAGAAACATGAAGAGAGGAATCATGGGCACAGACAGTGAGGGGGGATTGATTGTGGGCGTGGGGATAGGGGGTCAGGGGAGAGCAACAGGGGAAAAGGCAAAACAACTGTAACTGAACAACCACTAAAAAAAGAAAGGTTAGCAGTGGAATTGCCAGGTCAAAAAGCATTTCCATTTTTAGTTTTCTGGGGAAATTCCATACGGTTTTCCACAGCAGTTGCACAAGTCTGCAGTCCTACCAACAGTGCACTAGGGTTCCCTTTTCTCCACACCCTCTTCAACATTTGTTGTTCGTTGCTTTGTTTATGATGGCCATTCTCAACGGTGTGAAGTGGTACCTCATTGTGGTTTTAATTTTTATCTCTGATAACTAGCAATACTGAGCATCCTTTCATATGTCTCTGTGCCCTCTGTATGTCCTCCTTGGAGGAGTGCCTGTTCAGGTCCTTTGTAAGTTTTTTAAATTGGTTTGTTTGTCTTCCTGGTGTGGAGTTGTGTGAGTTCTTTATATATTTTGGAGATCGAATCTTTGTCTGAGGTATCATTGGCAAATATGTTTTCCCATATGGTTGGTTCTCTTTTTATTTTAATGCTGTTCTCTTTAGCTGTGCAGAAACTTTTTATTTCGATGAGATCCCATTTGCTTATTCTTTCCTTTATGTCTCTCACTCTAGGGGACATATCAGTGAAAATAAGAACTCTGAAACACCAATCTAAAAGAATATATGCACCCTAATGTTCATAGCAGCACAATTTACAATAGCCAAGGGCTGAAAGCAACCTAAGTGCCCATCAGTAAATGAATGGATAAAAAGAAACTAGGTACATCTATGCATTGAAATTCTATGCAGCAGAAAGAAAGAAGGAGCTCCTACACTTTGCAACAGTATGGATGGAACTGGAGAGCATTATACTAATGAAATAAGCCAGGCAGTGAAAGACAAATACCATATGATCTCACCATTAACAGGAACCTAATCAACAAAACGAGCAAGCAAGCAAAGAATAGCCAAAGACATTGAAATTGAGAACAGGCTGACAGTGATCAGAAGGGAGAGGAGAGGGGATAAAGGGGGGAAAGGGTGAAGGGCTTACAGGAACAATGATAAAGGACACACGGACAAAAACAAGGGGGGTGGGTGGCAATGGGGAAGGGAGGAGGGGAGGACTGGAGTGGTGGGGAGGGGTGAGGGGAAAGGCAGAAAACTGTACTTGAAAAACAATTAAAAAATTGTAAAAATTAATTAATTAAACAATGTGAAAAAAGAGAAATGTTAATGTACTTCCTTCCTCAGCATTCCTTTCAAAAGGGGGTCAAATAAAAGCAGCCTTCCCTTTCTCTGTAGAAGGCAATGAAAACCTTCCCAGGCAGTGTCCTCAGAGAGGGTGTGGGGAACCGGTTCCACTTGGGAAGTAAGGAGAGGACAGGGCTCCGGGTTCGTGGAAAGGCCACCCTAGAAACAGGGCGCAACGGCTGGGGAGTGACAGCAGCAAAAAAAATGCGTAGGACAAGGTATTACCTGAGGCTTGAAACCCATCCACAAGAAAGCCAGAGACCTTCTAGACTTGTGAGAAATGTATGTGCGGTCCTTTCTTTTTGACCTTCATTAAGAGACAACTGCATTTTCCCAAATGGTCTTAGGCCTTGTAGGAACCTGGGAGAACATCCACATTACCATTGAATCAGTGTTGTTTTCAAATGCACCGGGCGCTGCTAGGAGCTGGGGATAAACCAGTGAATTAAACAGAGGTGCCAAGGAGCTCAGGGAGAGGGGGTATCACAGTGCTAGGCAGAGCGGCTTCCCCGGGAGGGTGTGGAACGAGGGGAGTCCCCGTCAGGCTAGTAAAAGAGAGTGAAGCCACATACGTATTAAAAAGTCCCAGCCTCTTGGACTACCTGGTTTGCTACCCTCCTTCGCCCCCTACTCAAACCCCTTCAAAGAAAGGAATGCACGGGCGTTCATTGTTGGAATTCCATTGTCCCCTTCCCCAAAGCCCGCAGGGTGGGGACAGCGAAGTGGGTGGTAGCCTGAGTCACTGCTCAGGCCAGCCGGCGCGAGTCTGCTGGGGGTGGAGCGGGGGCGGTCGGCGGGTCCGGAGTGACGCCGGAGGGGCCAGGGCAGCAGGCTGCCGGGTGGCTGGCTTCCCTCCTCCGCCCGGGGAATGCGCCCATCAGCCCACGTGTCCACGAGATTTAAAAGTTGGCGGCCCGCGCGGCGGTCAGTCAGGCCGCCCAGCTCCACGCTCCGCGTTCCAGGGACACCGAGGCAACACCAGGGCACCGTGTGGGGCAGCGCAAAGTGCGGACCCCGAGTCGTCCAAAGGCGCCAAGATGCTGCGGGCAGCGAACCTCCGCCCCGGGTCTGCCCCGGGACTAGGGGCGACGGCATCCCTGCCCCGGGTGCTGCTGCTGCTGCTGCTGCTGCTCGCTTGCTGCGCCGCTGTCTGCCGAGGTAAGCCGGCCCGGCCACTCCCGGCGCCCCGGCACCGCTCCCCACGCTCTCCCCGCCCCCCTTTCCTGCCTCTCCTCTAGGCTCCTGGCCGCCGGCCTCTCTAGGCTCTCGCCCTGGACCACAGGCGCCGGCAGCCAGCGGCGCAGGTGCCAGTGGCGCGGCTGGAGCGTGGTCCCTGGCCCCGCGCTGGTGCCTGGCAGGCAGGGACAGCCAGCGGTGATGGAAACTTGGAGGGCTCCCTCACACTCCGGATGTCCAAACCCCATAGCTCAGGGGTAATGAGAGTTAAAAGAGTGAATATTAAAATTCTTTCCCATTGATTGCAATTGCTGGAGGGATCGATGGTTGACTCCAAACTAGAGTAAGTTTGCTACTTCACCTGCTGATGCGAGGTAAACTCGGAGGATACTCCACTTACTTTCAGATAATCTTGAGCAGTGAAACAGGCCCTGTTCTAGCGGTTTTGAAAGTAAGAGAGACTCTGAGGCTTATAGGTCTCAGGCATTAGATCAGGAAAAGGAATAGAGATTAAAAAAAAAAATACAGTGTTGGAGAGGCAAGCGTGCACGCCAGGCTTTCAGACAGTGCTGCAGCTAAAGTCAGGGAAGGCGGACGTGATTTGATAGCAGTAGGGACTTCCGAGCTTGGATTAGGGGAAAGAAGTGGGAAAAGCAAAGACGAGGGCAGGGGGGGAGGTCTGAAGCGTGGGAGACAAGGTAAAGTAGAGCGCACCTCACAGGGAGGAGATCACCTTCAAGGTCCCCTTTCCAGATACCTTGAGGGGACCGTCCTTCAGGGCAGACACTGCCCTAAGAAGGCGAATTTTGGAACTCCCCAGCAAGCGCTCCTTGCTTCCCTCCGCTGCCAGCAACAGCAGAGTTTCGTCGTTGTTCACAACACGGGGGCTTGAAGCCACAACCGCAGGGACCTTTCAGGGCATGCAGCCAGCTCTATTAGAGGGGGGGAACCGAAGCTATTTTTCTTTTATTACTGTATTTATTTTTATTGCTTCCCTTTAGTTGTTTGCATTTTTTCCTTTCCTGGGGGGAGGGGGGTGCGGGGGGGTCCCCTGCTTGAAAAACAAGGTAATTTGACTTTGGCATCTAAGCAGTCAGAAGCTGGGAGACCTAAACCTTCTCCATATCACATAGCCAGCAGTGATGTCTTATGCGAAGTACTGGCCATATTTTCAATTTGTTATTGGTAAAATTAGGAAGGTAGTCTCAATTTTAGCAGGGAAGCAGATAATCATAGTTTAAAAGTGAGTTTTCTTCCCTCTGTCAGGCAAGTGTGCTTTCCAATCAGGTTACATACTATATGTTTGCAGTGATTTTTGTATCGGTGAGAGATAACTGTTTGGGGAGCAGAGGGGGAACTTTCAGGCTGCTGGTGACTGAACAGAAACTATGGGAGGCAGCAGCTGGTTTCTAAAAAAAGATGCCTTGGCTTTATTTCCAAAAAGCATACCTACTGTCTCATCAGTTGACTCATAAATACACCCAATATTTCTCAAGCAAAGGGATGAGACGCATCCATCACTACACAGAGATTTCCTATACTATCCTTTTGTGTCTTCTTCCCCTTCAGATCTGCTGTTGATATTAAAAGCTAATTTTACCTCTCTGCAATTGTGATGGGATGGGCAGAGAGTGAATACACGGTGCAGTCTGCCCCAGTCCCAAATCTCTAAAGATGGCACTGAATGGGAAGCATGGCGTAGATTAAAAAAAACGGGGAGACAATCTATGAAGATTGTTACAGAAGATGCAACTGGATGTTTCTAAAAATAGCAAAACACAGCCCAAAGGCGGAGGAAAAGAAAATAGTGTCAACAAGTGTAGCATCCTTGGCAAAAATGAGTTAGCAGAGCATGTAACGGCAATGAGAAGATAAAGGGCCAGTCAGACTCTGGGGATGGAAACAGTTTACTATTTAGAAAACAATATTAAAATAAATAAGGAAATTTCCTACAACAGAGGAACATTTTGGATATCTGCAACAAACTATCACTTGATAAGCGATCAAGTGCCCAAGACTAAAATAAGAAGAATCCTTTTCTAGTCAGGGCCCTGCTCATTCAGGAATCCGTAAAATTCATTCCTACTCTCAGCTCCGGGCGACCACTAGTCTTTCCATAATATAGATTTGTCTTTTCTGGAAATCCCAAGTAAATGGAATCATTACAATATTTGGCTTTATCTGACTTATCCTAATATGTCTGACGTCCAGCTATGTTGTAGTACATACCAGTACAGACCGTCCCCTACTAACAATGGCTCCACTTACTACTTTTGAACTTTGTGATGATACAAAGCAATATACATTCATTGCTTTGAATGTATTGAATGTATTGAATTTTTGGATTTTGATCTTTTCCCAGGCTAGCAATACTGTCTGGCATGATAGTCTCTTGTGATGCTAGGCAGAGGCAGCAAGCCATAGCTCCTAGTCAGCCACATGGTCGTGAGGGTAAACACCAACACTCTGCAGTGTACAGTGTTGCTGCCATTTCGGGGATATTGTGTTTTGTGTTTTGCATCCCATCATGGCTACGAAATGCCTATCTGTGTCTCCTGCTTACAGTGAACAAAGAAGGAAGGCAATTATTATTGAGATGAAACGCAAAACAATTGCCCAGCTGTAGGCTAATGTAAGTGTTCTAAGCACATTTAATGTGGGCTGGGCTAAGCTGTGATGTTTGGTATGTAACCCTGTTGTAAGTTGAGCAGCATCTTTAGTTCATTTCTTTTTATGGCCAAATAGCAGTCCAGTGTTTGGGTGTACCACACTTTGTTGACCTATTCACCAGATGATGGATATTTGGATTTTTTTCTGCTTCTGGTCATTATGGATAATGCTGCTGTGCACATTCATGTACACATTTTTTGTGTAGATATAGTAGATGATTCTTTCCTGAGAGTATTGCTTTCGTAATGTTATTAAGGCTTATTTAATAATCATTTTGACTTCTTATACTAAATCAAATGCTGAAATATGTAGTTGAAAGAGGAGGGTAGTGATGTACAGTGAAAAATGAGATATATTACTCCACGATGAACTACAGTCATGTGCTGTACAATGACCTTTCAGTCAATGATGGAAGTTCCATAAGATAATTATAGAGCTGAAAAATTCTTATTGCCTAGTGATGCCTTAGTGCATCACATTGCTCATGTGTTTGCCATGACGCTGATGTAAACAAACCTACTGCACTGCCAGGTGTATAAAAGTATAGCACATACCATTATGGACAGTTCCTGGTACTTGATAATGATAACAAAAGACTCTGTTACTGGTCTGTGTAATTGCTATACTGTTCTTTTGATCATTACTTTAGAGTGTACTCTTTATACTTATAAAAAGTTGGCTGTAAAACAGTGTGTCATGTTATGCCATCTGTGGCCTCGTGCAGCTCGTGTTTACCACGTCTCTTGATTGTTCATTTTCTCTTGTGCTTGATTTCATCTCACATTGTTTTGTTCATCACGGCCCCTAAGCACACAAAGTCCACTGCTAATCTTGTTAGTAAGTGGTGTTTAGTGATTGACTTGGAAACAAAATTAAAAGTGACAGGCTACAAAGGTGGAAAATCAGTGAAGGTTATTACTCACTAGTCACACATGTCCCATGTCACCATCACTACAATCCTGAAGAACAAGAGCAAAGTGATGGAAGCTGTTAAAGGATCTATTTCACTGAAGACAGTGAGACTAACAAAAAAATGAGAAGGGACTATGACAGACATGGAGAAACTTCTAATGGTCTGGGTTGAAGACCAGACGCAGAAGAGTAACCCACTCAGCACTAGGAGGATCACAGACAAAGCAAAAAGTTTTTTTGCAGTGTTGAAAGAAAAGGCTGCTCAGACTAGGTACAGCTGAAGGAATTCACCATCACCAAGCCATTATTACATGATATGTCAAAGGGACTTGTTTAAGAAAAAGAAGAAGAGCAAAACTATGATCATTTAAAAGGCAACAAATTCACAACTCTCAACAACTGAACCTGAAAACAAGCAAACAAACAAACAAACAAACAAACAAAAACAAGCAAACAACCAGAACAGGAACAGAGTCATAGGTACGGAGATTATTTGGAGGGCTAGCAGTTGGGAGGGGTAAGGAGGAGCATGGGGGAAGGTACAGGGATTAAAAAGCATGATTGATAGGTACGAAATAGAAGGGGGATGTTAACAATAATATAGGAATTGGAGGAGCCAAAGAACTTATATGTATGGCCCATGGACATGAACTAAGGAGGTGGGGAATGCTGGAGGGGAGGAAAGTACCGAGTAGAGCAGGGCAAAGGGGGGAAATTGGGACAACTGTAATGGCATAATCAATAAAATATAATTTAAAAAGGAAAGAAAGAAAAGGCTGGACCTGACTGTAACGTCAGATTTACTACTAGCTCTTGGTGGTTTAAATGATTCAAGAATTGTTATTTGTTACATAACGTGAAAGTGAGTGGTGAGTTGGCTGGTGCTGATGTAAGGCAGCTGAGGAATTTTTGAAAACTCTAAATAAGCTGATCGTGGTGGAAAATATGGATGAAACCTCCCTGTTCTGGAAATAAATGCCTGAAAGAAACCTGCATCCATAAGGAGGCCAAGTCAATGCCAGGGCTCAAAGCCTCTCAGGACTGGATGACAGTCTTACTTGGGGGCAAGGTTGCAGGCTACAAACAGAAATCCTTTGTGATCTGATGCAGTGAGAAGCCAAGGGCCTTCAAGCATATCAGCGGGCTCACACTACCAGGGTTCCACGGGAGCAATAGGAAATTATAAACGAGGAGTTGCCGAAATAGCTCACTGGGGAGAGCGTTAGGCTGAAGATCTAAAGAAATTGTAAATGACCCAGCTTTTCTTCCAAGTTGCCCTCCTGAATTACTAGGCCAGTGAAAAGAAGTACTATTTGGAGAAAAATATATCTTTCAAGATTTTGGCTATTGTTGATAATGCTCCCAGACATCCTCCTTTCACTGATGATCTTCATCCCAATATCAAAGTGGCGTTTCTCCCTCTAAATATCACTTCTTTGATCCAACCAATGGATCACGGAATCATAGCAGTTTTCTCAGCCTGTTACATGTGGACAACATTTAAGCAGGATATTGCTGCAACCGAGGAAGACTCTGAGAAGATGCTGATGCAGTTCTGGAATGATTATAACATCTGCGAATGCATCAGGAACTTGCTTGGGCTTCAGATGATGTTACCAAGGAGAGTGTGAATGGGGCATCTCGAAGAAGACAGTTAAGAGGTTTGTGCATGACTTCAAAGGATTTGCTGAGGATGAGGAGGTTGCAAAAATCAAGAATTTTGAGATGACGGACATCTTTAACTTGAATGTGGTTAAAGCTGACTTTGAAGAGCTTCTAGAGGTGGTTCCTGAGGAACTGACTAATGAGGAGTTGTTGGAACTGAAACAGAAATGCATAGCTGGAGAAGAGACAAGAGAAAAGGCAATTGCCAGATAAGAAAAAGAAGAAGACCTCCCACCCTGGCTGGTGTGGCTCAGTGGATTGAGTGCCGACCTGTGAACCAAAGGGTTGCTGGTTCGATTCCCAGTCCGGGCACATGCCTGGGTTGCAGGCCAGGTCCCCAGTGGGGGTCGAGTGAGAGGCAACCACACATGGATGTTTCTATTCCTCTCTTTCTCTTTCCTTTCCCCTCTCTGAAAATAAATAAATAAAATATTAAAGAAGAAGAAGGACCCCAAAGAAAACTCACAGTGTATGGCTTAAAAGAAGTTTTTACAGACCTAAACAAGCTCCTGAAAATGTTTGAAAACGTGGACCCAACACCAAAATGTTTTCATTAACAGAGAGGGATGCTCATGATGCACTGTCTGCTTACAGGGGATCTGTGATGGAAAAAAGAAGAAACGAGTCAAGTGAACCCTGTGGACATATTTCTGAAAAGAGTAACACCTTCTCCAAAAAAGCCCAGGCAGATCGTTGAGGAGGTGGCCCAGAAGAAGGCAGTGTTATCGCAGGAGGTGACAGCTCCAGGCATGTCATCACCCCTGAGGATCTCCCAGGGGAGTCAGGTGTGGAGGGGACCACAGCCATGTCCGTGACCCTGACCTGAGTAGGCCTAGGCTACTGTGTGTATTTGTGCTTTAGTTTTTAACCAAGGAGTTTCAAAAGTACAAAACAGAGTTTAAAAACAGAAAAAAGCTATAGAGTAAGAATGTAAAGAAAGAAAACATTTTGTGCAGCTGTAAAATGTGTTTGTTTTAAGCTAAGTGTTATTATTAGAGTTAAAAGCTAAAAAAAATCAGAAGTTTATTAAGTAGAAATGTTATAGTAAGCTAAGGCTAATTTCTCATTGAAGAAAGAACAAATTTTTATATAAATTCAGTACATCCTAAGTGTATGGTGCTTATAAAGTCTGGAGTGTGCACAGTAATGTCCTAGGCCTTCACATCACTCACCCCTCACTCACTGACTCACCCGAGTAACTTCCAGTTCTGCAAGTTCCATTCCTGGTAAGTGTTCGGTAAGGTGTTCCACTTTTAATCTTTCATACCATGTCTTTTCTACTTTAGATATGTTTGGATACACAAATAGCTTTGTGCTACGGTTTCCTGCAATATTCTGCAGGACAGTAGCATGCTATACAGGTTTTAGCCCAGGAGCAGTAACTGGCTATACTGCATAGGCTAGGTACGTATTAAACCTTACCATCTAGGTTTCTGTAAGTGCATTCTGTGATGTTCACACAATGAGAAAATCGCCTACATTTCTCAGAACATATCCCCACTGTTAAGCAACTAATAAATGTATATATAAATATTTAATTTTAGAAGAAATACTATAAAATTAACACGTGAGTACAACTTTATTTTTAGGTGCTCCAATATCACCTCAAGGATTACGGCCTGAACAAGAACTACAACTGTGGAATGAGGTAAAGAATTATCTTCATACAAATTAGTGGACAACTTTACCTTTCTTGGGACTTACCATGGTAAACTGAAAGAATATAATTGAGATGTGGGACATTCACCATTCTGGGGCACTCCAAACTTTCTGGTTCTAACCACATGCCCCTGTGACTCTGCCCACTTGACCTGTGCTGGAGCAGACCAGAAATGCTGGGAGTAAATGCCCTACTGAGGGCAGCCTTTGGTTGGTGACCCAGGGGAGTTGGTGGCTAAATACCTGAGCCCAGTTGGGATAACTCTGAGTTCTGCATTGGCTCCCTGAGTTCTCCAGACATATTGACCCCAGTTACCCACAGTGGTAATCTGCTTGATAATATTTCCTTTATCGGATTTCTCCTTTTCCTTGTTTTACTTCTTTCTAAATATATTTTGTTGATTATGCTATTACAGTTGTTCCATTTTCCCCCTTTATTTCCCTCCACCCTGTACCCCCCTCACACTAGCATTCTTCCCACCCTTTGTTCATATCCATGGGTCATACATATAAGTTCTTTGGCTTCTCCATTTCCTATAACATTCTTAACTTCCCCCTGTCTGTTTTGTACCTACCACATATGCTTCTTGGCCATACCACCCTGAATGTGCCTGATCTTGTCTTTTCCTTGTTTTATTTCTCCACTCTTCTATTAATGCTTCTTGGATCATCTCCCCCAAGATCTACTTATATCCACATACTTATTTCAAGGCCTGTTTCTGGGGGACCCAACCTAAGACAGAAATTCACATACATACAAACTTGACTTACAATAAAAGTAATTCTAAAATTCAGTGGGGAAAAGACAAACTTTTTGGCCAATGAGGATTGAGAAACTGCCTCACTATATGGAGGAAAGTAAAACTTACCCCTTATACAAAGGTGGGCTGCAAGTGGATTAAAGATGTAAATATAAAGGGTAAAATTATGGAATTGATAGAAAAGATTTTCCACCAGGAAAATGTCTTCGTTAGCTAGAGTCAGGGAAAGACTTCTTAAATAAAACTTCAACTATAAATCATAGGGCCAAACATATGATAAATTGAATCGCATTAAAAATAAAGATTTCTTTCAGCAAAAGACTTCATGGATAAGAGGTTAATTTTAGAAAACATAAGAAATCCTATGAAATCATTTAGATAAAGATAGGAATCCAAAGTAAAAACAGTCAAGGGATAGAACAACTTAAGATGAAACCTAAAAGACCAAGAAGCATCTAACCTGCTGTTCAAATTCACTACTAATAATGAAATGAAAAATAAAACAACAGCAAAATTTCACTCTCTACCCATTATCTGGGCAAAAACAATAGAAATTTAGTTAATGGCAAGGGTCAGCAAGGATATGGGGTGAAAGGACTCTCGCGAACTGGTGGTGAGAATGTCAACTCTGGAGCCATCTTGAAAGCACCCTAGGTATCCCCATGATCTAGCGTTACCTCTCCTGGGTATGTAACCCGAAGGTACCCTCCTTCAGATCCCTAAGTGGGGGACAGATACAAGGAGATAACAGAAGGATTGGAGGGAACCCTGCTGTCTATCATCGGAATGTGTAGGCAACATGGCATGGGTGCACATTGTAGAATATTCTACGACGGTTTGGAGAAGCATACTAGAAGTACCCAGTAACATGGATAGATTTCAAAGTATAGTATTACAGGAAAAAATAAGAAATACTGTATATGTGCACAAAACAATAGTAAGATTTTCTAGGACCTAAGCAATTGGAGGTTCCACCTCAACTACATTAGAAGAGTTGCCTATGGGAGGATGGAATAGGAGTAGGAACTGAAAATATAGAAAGAAGAAATAACTAAAGCAAGTCCAATGGTGCTGTGAACCGAGGGGAATGCCCTTTGTGCCTAGCCACCCCAACAGTACATATAAGGAGGAAGACAAGACAGATGAGATGGTGAGTGCCGAGCACTAAACAGTCTTCAATAGCACAGAAATTCGTAAAGTTTATTATGAGGATCTTTGCTTTGCTATATCAAAATACGCATTAAAAAATATAAACAATATAAAAAATAATTTAGACAACAAATAATGTATAATATAGAAATAGTTATTTTAGCTTGAAATCATCTACATTTCTGTGGGAAATTTCTGAAAAAAACATTTTAGATGATAATGCTGGGAAAAACTCAAAGATGTAAAAGCCTTATAAATTCTTTTAGAGAAAAAATATTTAAAGGAGTTAAGATGCTAAAAATACTAGAAACACATACTTTCAACCCATATACAGAGAATTAATGGACCAGAAAAATGAATAAGCAGCATTTATCTGTAAAAAATAAAATGCCAGTTACATGTTAATACATTTTCAAACATGCCTCAGTGGGTTGTACAGACCACTTGAAAGCAATTAGTGGCACTTACAACCATTAGGGCCAATATCTGAGTAAAACAAACAAATGCTGGCCCCAACGGAGAGCAGGAGAGCGATGTTGCTGTGCCTTTTTGTAAGAAGGAGAACAAAGACTGAAAAGCTTCGCAATTATCTCTTCATGTGACTGGGTGGTGTTTTTTCTTATTCTGATGTTTTTATTCAAACAATGTTGATGCACTCCTTAGTTAATCTTGTGGCTCAAGAGCTCTCTGTTCCTGGACAGGGTGATCTCACACAGATGCACGGTCTGCTCTGCCGGTGGACGGCTCTCCCCAGAACATGTCGTGTCTTCAGTACCTAAGCACCACAAAAATTTCAGGAGGAACCGCTTTTTCCTACCCTGCTAAATCACTAGCACTATCATTTGGAGCTAATCAATTACACTTTGGTCTCAATTCAAAGCTTAAATTAAAATTGCAGGTCACAATTCAAAGCTTAAAAGGGTATCGCTTTTTGGCTTTGCCCTCTCAATTGACTTCTCGTATTTTTTCCACAAGTTCAATTAAATTTAGCTCAATGAGATTTATCAAACACTTATTCTGGGCAGGTTAGGTATGGCATAGCCCCTGCCCTCAACACGTTCATCACTGTGAGTGTGTGTGTGTGTCTTTCCACTCGTGATTCCGGGTTGGCATGGAGGAGGGAGCAGTGGGTCGGCACAAGGGACAAGTGGAATAAAACAGTTCCCAAATATCTGTGATCTATAGAGATGACAAGTTCAGTGAGGATAAAAAGGAGAAAGACATAAATAAGCTTATGTTTGCAATAATACTGGACACATTTGTTAATCTCTAAATTAGAGAATCATATATTTTAGGACATGTTCAACTTGGAACCAATGAGGAGCTTGAGAAATTGTGGAGAATGTGATCATCCCCACCCCCTCAGTTTGGTGGGAGACTGGAAATTAAATTAAACTGATCAACAAAGGATTCTGAAACTAGAAAGGGACCCCTAGGATGTTATGCCATAAACAGGACTCCAGCTAAATGACCCAGACAGGCAAGAGTCAGTACCATTTTTTTCAACTCCATTTTAAAAGGCCACCAAAGAAATAAATGTCGTAAAAACTTCAGAACACGGTTTTAAAAATGATTACTATGTCTTGTATCACAGTTTAAAATCTTTCAGGTTTTCTTTTTAGCACAAAAGTTGAGAATGGCGAGTTGCCAACTATAACTCAATAAACCTTTTCTAATGCTGGCTCCTTAGTAGCAAACTGGTAGGTTGCCCTGGTTGTGTAAGGGTTTTTACTGCATGCTATTTAACATGCTATTTATAATTTAGCACTTATGCTACTATCATTTAATTTAGATGGTGTGGTTAGATTTATGGGCCATAAAGAACCACATGATTGCAGGGTGCTCCTTAATGCCAAGGCCATTTTTAAGTCATCGTTCACATTTCTCAGGCTGAAGAATATAGCAAGTTTTTTCCTCAGTGTTTGAAGTGCCTTTATGCTCTCTCATGATCCCTATAAGTTGTTCTTGGGAACATCTACCTCTTGTGGCTTGGGGCGAAGTTTGGGACAATCCTCGTTTCAGGGCTTTCTTAGAAAATTTACAAGGTTCCTCTCTCTCAAATCCAAGATTTCTAAGATGTCACAGAACGTTGATTACTATTATGTAGGTAACTTGACTTTATAAAATCTGCTTTCCATTTGCGGCTGTTTTTCTGTTTATCTTCAAAATGTAATCCCCATTTTTGTTCACTACAGATAGGTGCTGCTTGTTCGTCTTTCCTGTCCACTGGTTCTCAGTCTCAGGTAATTCCAGCTGGAAGTGTTTTGTAATGATGTAGGCACTGGTGTGGTGCTGAACATCCATTACTCCCTTTGGATCTGCCATTACTTTGTGGGCTTATTAAAACATGCCAGCATATTAGAAATTATCACCGCATCTGCAGGTAATATTCAGAACTATGATCTTATGTTGTAAAGTGCTAGGACTTTTATTTCTAAGTAAAACAGATTTGCAGATAATATATACATATTTTGCAAAGTAAAATGCTGATTTCATAATCAAATTCTGTGTTAGGTTAGAAATACTGTGTCTATTGCTGTATTTGGGGGCTAAGATCCTGTCCCTCAATGGAGTTTGAAACCCGTGGAGGGGGAAACTTATAGAATCAGTCTTACAGAGGTCAAAGTAGCACTATAACTGAAAAGTCAATTTGCAAATGTGGCCTTGGAGCTGATGCCAAGTGTGTTTGCTAAAAGTATGCCCAGAATTAAACTGGGTTAGACAGTGACTCTGGCCCTCCTGCCAGAATCAGCTTTCCTACCACAGGGAAGAGACCTGACAAGAACAGCTGGCCAGAGAGCTGGCACCCTAAGAGGAAAGGGCTGGATGGAGCATGCCCAGTTTCCTTCTGTCAGTCATCTCTCAGGTAACTCACTCCTCTTCCCATAGGAGAGAGTTAAGAGCCGGTGGAGAAAGAGGAGTGTTAGTCTAGCTCCTGTACATGGAAACATGAGGAGTGGCATGTAAGTGTGTCCTCCTCACACCGTCTGTCTGCAGCTCTGTCTTTGAGTTAGGTACAGCAGTGTTAGCCTTTGTGGCTTGACTTTTTGAATCAGTATCACTAGACTTCTGGTTGGAGCAGGGGGTTCAGCAGGGGTTCAGTTTGACCCTTTCAGAGCAATCAGCTGTGTGCCTTGGGCCTACCTGCTACATAGTCTGGCCAAGGTTCCATGTCCTTCATAGACCTTCCAGAATGTCCTTGTGGCTGGTGTGGAGACAGACAGCCTTGTATAAGGCTGTGTTTATTCTGCCTCAAGCCATTCCTTGGTCTGCAGAGGATCACTTGAAGGAAGTTGGAAGCAACACCGGAATCATAATAGGTGACCTGTTTATGAATAATTCAAATTTCTTTAGGAGCATTGATGGCTATGTAACATGTGATGGATATGAAATAACAAGCTTTTGCTTTGTATTTGAAATTCAGGAACACCCTCAGAATCACTTTTATTTCTGCAGTACTAAACAGACAAATTTTAAAGCACTCATCTAAACACCATCGGGATAAACTAAGTTTTTACTGAATTCAAATACTATGTACATTCCGAGGAGAGGTTGCTAAATTTATTATGAAATCTTTTACATTACCTGATGCAATTTTAAAAATCAAAGCTTGATTTACAGCTGTAGCTACTCATCATTTAGAAGACATATCAAGAGGATTGTTCAGGGCCACCTATATCCTCAATCCTCAAGCACTGATTTTCACATTAACTGTTATTTTATTTTTTATGTGATTATCTGAATAGTGCTTCAAAACATTTTTATCAAATAGAAAATAAAGGATCTTTAAGGTCTAAAACTAAACAATAAAATATTAAAAGTTAGTATTAAATAAGTCCTTAAAGAAGAGTTGTAGCTAATTAAATAACGGCTTCATGTAAAGTGTTGCTGGAGAAAACTTAATTTGTTTTTGAAACTGTTTCTGTCAAACTTCAATCTTGTTGCCAAGCCTCTATCCAGCTTAGACGATCTTTTCTAAGGAGGTACTCACATGTCTGGATTTATTCTTCTTCAAATTAAGGGACACATCTTTGACAAATGATATCACCAGACAGTTTTGTTATGGTTTTGTATTTTGCAGCATTTCTAGATGGGCCATAAAGAGGAGTTTCAGGGATTTATTTCCAGATTTTTATGGGGTGACCTGTGTCTCCATCCCTGATGAGAAACAGTGGGAAAGGATGTGTCAGTGTTCACACTGTTTTCTCTCTCACCCGACTCCCAGACATAGTTGTAACAGTCCATACCAATTCCACACAGGAATATCTAAAGTCCAGAAGACCTAGTTCACAGGCCACACTCTACCAACTGCTGGACATATGTGATGTTGGGCAAATGACAGTCTCTTGAAACCTTCCTTCTTTTATATATGAGAATAGCATTTCCTTTCCTGTATACCCTACACTGTGTTTTAAGGACGGAATGTGAATTATGTATGAGAAAGTATTTTGAAATTTACTGAAACCCTATATAAATATGAGCCATTTAATATTATTAATAAATAGCCTAACAAATTGCATGGCAGGCAAACGAGTGGAAGAGAGCAAAACAGACCTCCTATGCTGGGAAGGATGCTGAGAGAAGCTGTTTCATGACTCCAGCTTGTTCCTAACTACAACCAATCACGTTAAGCACGCACTATTGTTCAAAAGTTGAGGATATAGGTGGCCCTGAACAATCCTCTTGATATGTCTTCTAAATGCTGAGTAACTACAGCTGTAAATCAAGCTTTACAGGTCACACATTTTTAATGCTACCATTGTTAACTAATTGCTATATACCTGGCACTGTACTAAGAGGTTCAACCACATTTAATCCTTCCAAGAGCTCTCTGCAGCAATGTTGTCATCCCTGATTTATGGGCAAAGAGACTGAAGTTTACAGAGGTTAGGTAACCAGCCCAAAGTAACACAGCTAATAAGGAGTAGGATGAAATTTGCACTGCTGTAGAGTTGCAGGCTGCTCAACTCCATAGCCCCTGTTTTTAACCAGATTATATCACCCCCATGGTTCCAGATCCTCATCACTTTCAGTGTGCATTTATTAAGCAATCAGTTGTTCATGGTACTACTGTGCTAAATTCTGTGCAAACTAGGTTTCGCCCCTGCTTGTCCATTTGTGCGATTCTTCACCACACCCAGCTGGCTGCCAAACACAGGGAGCCCTGCCCTACTTCTGTGCTCAGATACTTTGAAAACCTGATCCTGGGGTGTGCAGTCAGCAGCCTGGAAGGGTGGTAACTCAGATTAGGGCCCATTCATGGCTTCTTCCCTTCCCACTGCCATTGTTTGCAAGCAGTTGCAGGATTTTCAAATTAGCCAATGATGAGTAATATTCAGTGAGGCTCAGAGCTTTCGCATGTAGATCCAGGCTTTGCTACATACTGGGAAGAATAATCCCTCTTTTGGTACTGCCCGCATTACTCTCAGTCATAGAATTCCATGAAGTCTTAGCAAGTACTGAGAACTATGTGTCCGAGAACTTAGCCCTCCACAACGGAGAACTTAAATAGTGCACATATACAGCACATTGCATTTTTCCCCCTGATTGGAAGGAATGTTTTACTTTTAGGAGCCAAGTTATTGTCATGAGAGAAATTGAGGGATTCCAATAGAGTTTCACTGGGCCGCAGGAAGGATTCTATTGTGGGTAATTGGAACATCCATATGTCCCTAACATTCTACAGCTGTATCTTCTGTGCAAGTGCTGTTTCATCAGAAGCATAGCCTGTGTGTCTTCTCATTTCCATTAGGCATCCAATGCACTAGAGGAACTTTGCTTCATGATTATGGGAACTCTACCAAAACCCCAGGTAAGGTTAAAACATTGTTTGATTTGTAGGCAAAAAATTGCCCAGTGGCATTTTGGAATTCCTACTAGAGGAAATATACCCAATTTAAAAAGTAAGCCAAGGGGAGCTTGAAGAGGATAAGCTGGTTTGGGGTAAGAAACAAATACTTCAGTTTCTCTGATGTCTGAGAATTTAAGGTCATATCCATGGAGTTTATAAACATCAATTGGAAAGTTATATGTCCCTGTGAAGTATCTGCTTCTGATGAGGGAAATATGGGTTCATTGGCTTCTTTTCTCTCCCTGACTCACTACAATTGGAGAACAGATGCATCTTTCTTTGTTAGAAAGACATTAAGAATGCAAAAAAAAAGCACACCATATTGTTAATGTCAGTTTGAAAATTATATTCTTATTGTGATGCCTTGGTTTCTAATTAAAATTACCTGATTCTTCTGGGAGAGCTTTTTGTTCTGAAGTGAAGATAGGAGGGAACTTGAAAAATAGCATAATGTACCATACTTTATTTTATATTCTGTATCTTATAGATAGATGTACTTATTTTAAAACTATCATTAAGTGTAAGAGCCTCAAGTTTAGAATTATATTTCTCATTAGCAATTCTAATTTAACCATGACTGTTGGTACATTCTGTTATGTCTTTCACATACAATAACTAAAGGAAAGCTTGACTTTTTGAAACCATAAATGTTTCCTAAAAATAAGTATTTTTGACTGTATTTTTTCCAGTGTTTTTAATAGTGACATTTTTCAAAACTTTTTCCTCTAATTAAAATAAAAGAAATGACAATGGTGTTTATCCATGAGTTTCCTCTTATATTAAAAGTAAATGAGAACAAAAAAGAACAAAAACAACAAAAAGAATGATATGTTTCATTTGTAAAAACAGATTTTTTGGGGGGGGGAATATAGAAGGGTTTATAGAAGAAAGCAAAAATAACTTATAATTTTATTATTTAGTGATAACAACTACAAGTACTTTCATGTGATTTCTTCTAGTCCATTTCTCTGAATATTCTATATGTAAGGATATCATTCCCAGTCCATCACTGTTGAACTTGTAGGATGTTTCCATTTTTTTCACTCATGAATAATGCTGCAGTAAGGAGCTGGTACACCATGAACAGTCTTTAATTTCTCATTTATTTTTAGAGCAATATATGCTTAACCAATTTCAGTCTTATAATTTACATGTAACATGTCATATTTTTTAAAAACTTCATGAAAATTTCACATTATAAATTTTATATTACATACTATACATAACATACATAATCATTTTATGTTATGCATAATATGATAGTTATATATCTTTTTTCAACAGGAAACAGATGAAAAAATAAATACCAAAAGGGTAAGATGATTTCCATAAATATATATTAAAAATAATAAAGTAAAGCACTAACCCTCTATAGTAAAGCTCATTATTTCTTTTTTAAACAGTTCTTATTTCATTATTCCAAGACACGGAAGTTGGGCAATTCAAATGTTGTGGTAAGTTGTAGGATTAATTTTTATGAGTAATCACTGGTATTTTTTCCTAAACCTGTTTTTGCAGTTTATTGAATAGAACTAGATTACAATTTTTTTTACTTTAAAGGTTTATACCACTTGTTAACCAAGTTAAATTGGTTAACAATGTTGATCCATTTGAACATAGCATTCAAATTTATTATACATTTATTATATATCTCAATAACTACATGCATATTAAAATCATTCATTCATTCAACAATTATTCACTGAGTATCTGCTATGTGCTAATCACAGTTCTAGGTACTAGAAATATAGCCCTAAATAAAATAGAAGATTAAAAAAGAAATCCCTGCTGTCATGTAACCTACATTCTAGAGGTCAATAAAATGAAACAAAACAAAAATACCCAAATAATTAAGTAAAATATATTGTTTTAGATGATGATTAGTGCAAAGGAAAATAGTTTTATTCAAAGGCATTTTGTCAATTATTTTAAAAGATGATTGTCAAAATATATAATTAAATATAACTAGAAATATCCATTTCTATTCCTAAGATCTCCTTATTTGTAATTAGGCATTTAGTGTGAGAATTTACTAAGATTAGCTAGATACCAATAACTTGAATTCAGTTCACTTCTAAATTATGTGATTTAGTGGTAGTTTTTCTTTTTATGTGTGGCTTTAAAAATGCTAATGAACCTACTTTGGTGTTCCAATTAGAATACTTAACAACCCACTATAATAATCTCTCTAAGTTTGTGACTTGCTACCATGACTAATCTGAGACTGAGGAGCACAGTGTATGTTAAACAAGTACGTACCTGTGGGTACCTGTGGAAAGGGAACTGTAATCTTAAATTCAGTGTTAAAGTTCATCACATTCAATATCTTACTTATGAGGAGTTTAAAGTTAGGTTATACTGGCTTTAAAAAGCAAGTGCAAGTTGAATTGCTTAACAATGTTGATCCATTTGATGAGTGGTTTTAATAATTTGCGACAAGGTTCAATTCAAGCCATGCCTTTAAAATGAAACCAAAGCAGGTAGCCATACGTCTCAATCAAATGTGCTTTCATTTTCTTCTGTTTGCATCTTTATGTTTTGAGAAAATATATCTTAGTCACATTCTTCACTATCAACAACACATTGTCATTTTTGTGCACCCTGTTGTCTTGTTCCAGTGTTGAGTTTTAAATAAACGATATAATTTATAAAAGAGATTACTAGATGTGTGTACAGTATAATCTTCTAGAGAAACGTTTTCACAATAAAAAACTGATCCTCCCAGAGGTGTTTTCATCTACCCCCAATCATTTTGAGTAAGTCTGGAAGCAGACACTGCTTCTTGCCTGTCAAAGACGCAGGTGGGTGTTTTGCTTGTTGGTAGCTCATGATGGACTGATGCTCTCAGGAAAGTGCTTCATCAACATAATGGCCAACCAAGGTCCTAGCACAGAGCAAACAAATTTCAGGCCATCTCTTGGCTTACTTTCCCCACTTCTTTGAAATGCTCACAAAAGGCTGTCTGAGATAACATCTTTCTTGTTCTGTTTGCTCTGGAGCAAGTGTAGCGGGTAAAAACAAGTAGGAAACCATCTTTATGCCCAATGCTGAGAAGCCTCTGTGCTCATCGTGTGTGTGTTCGTGTCTCTCAGTCGTCTGTCGTGCATCCGTTGCTGCAGCTCGTTCCTCAACTGCATGAGAGAAGAATGAAGAGATTCAAAGTGGACGTATGTAAACAAACTGCATGTTTGCTTTGCCACTCTGTGTGGGGCGGCTCTTCTCTTAACTCCCAGCTGTGTTTCATAAGATGCTCTTCCCAAGATAAGCCCCACATAAACAGTGAAGCATCCATTTCCCAGAGTGGTGTCACACTCAGGAAGAAAAATTTGTTTCCCTTCCCCTTAGTATGGTCCTTCTATGTCAAGTTATGAGCACTGAGGAAAGCTGGGATTAGGTCCCTCCCCAGTGAGGAAATCTATTCTTGATTTAAGTAAGGACACAGCCAGTGTGCCTAGTCTCTGGGTAAGAAAAGAAGAAAAAAAGCAATTCACTGCCGCTTTGTATACAGGTCGGCAAATGGCTGTATGTATAGAAAGATTGGGATGGCAATCTTTCTATCCAAGTGTTAAAGTGTTAGTAAAAGTAATACTTTAGGCTCAGGAAGTCAGTATATCAGAAACTAATTGTGGGAGTCTTGTCCAAAATCAGTATCTATGTTTAAGATAAATATAATGTTGTTAACTGCTTTCTAAACTACAAATTGTGTTTATATTGTTATTTTAAGAAGTGTTAACTCTTTCAATGATGGAAATTTCTATGTATTATTTTTAAGTAATGCTCCAGATTGTTACAATGCATTATAGTTTTCAGTCTTATTTTTTCAGTCTTATAGTACTGTTAGCTTTGCTGAGCCTAAGTCACCTAATTTTAAAGCATATTTTTGACAGTGAAGTATTCTGGGTTCTTAGAGAAAAGGAGCTTTCAGATCCTAGTGCATTCCAACACTTTTCTTAAATTTTTTTGCTAGACATCCTCACTTCCATCCCCACAAATTCTCTTTCTATACTATTCTCTGTCCAATGATAAGATTAAAACAATCTGTATATTTGGATGTGAAAGTTTTTGATTTTATCATGCTTTAAGCTACATTTTGTCCTACTTTTCTTTTTTCTTATATGATCTTATAAATGTATAGTTTCTATGTGCATATTTATAAATATAAAAATTTCCATCTTTTAAGTAATTTGAGTGGATTTATATTCAGGGTGAGAATTAGGTATTAAAATATTGAAAATTTCAGATTTGTTGTAAAGCAGGGATTTAAGAATTTTAATAGATGTCAGAGCTATTTCTTAGAATTTAAAAATATCGTTTTACTTGATTTATGGAATAATTTAAAAAGTCTTGTTGACAAATTCTATAGTGATTGCCATCCTGATACTTTTATAATAAGTAGTAGATAAAAATAACCTATTTATATAAGAACAAATTTTATGGAAAACATAGAATGTTAAATATTTTTCCATTAAGTTTAAAATGAAGTGTTTTGAGAAAAAAATAGTTCAAAATATATCCACTATGGATAATTGGTTTGTTCCTACTTGGTACTGTTTTCATTAGCATTTCTATAAATATAATTAGTTTGGGAGAATGTCTTCTGAAGTCTCATTGAGGAAATGTAGTTTACCAAAGTTGTCCCTCAATTTCTATTTAAATTCCTATAAAAACACTGTGTAGTTTAGCTCTGACACAATTTTGTATGTTTTTCCTGTTGTTGTGCTAGCACATAAAATATGTATTCAAAAGAAATTATTTTGTTCTAACAAAATGCTAAAAGAAGATTTTAAATATAGTTAATTATGAAGTTATTGTCATTTCTCTTTCTACTTCTTGATGAATATCTATTGTGACAAATGTCTTGCAAATAGAATCTCTATGTTAATAAGGGAATTACTTAAAAATATAACACTCTGCTGATACTGCTAGTTTTTGGAAATTCTTCAGGTAGAAATACAAAGATTAGCTATTATTATGAATTATAAAGTCAAGTCCTTGAGTCCCTCTTTGTTTAATTATGATAGTTGAAAATAACTTTGAGCTTCACAATACTCTCAAGAAGAATATGCACTTATTACAGTTATTTGATTTTTAATGTCCTTATTTTCAATTCCAGGAAGAATTACAAGGTCCTATTGCAAGTCAGAGACGAAGCTACTTTTTATTCAGGGTATGCACATAATGTATTTTTAAAAAACAATTAATATCAAAATTGAAAAATACTTTTACTGTGCATTTATTCACATTAACTCATTTGAGTTTTGAAGTTTATTTATAGATAATTGACATCAAGTGTCATAGTCTGAGATTCACTTCTGTCACCAGCTTATTGCTTTAATATTACGATATTTGTGATCTCTAATCTGCTACTCATATTTGTAAATGCCCCAGAGACATTAACCTGTTTGCAGTTCCACAAAATTTCACGTGTAGGAAATGAGCAACTTAAAGATGTATCACTTTTAAGTTCTAAAGACTCATGTACTGAATGTTTTATTTCGTAGATTAAAAGAGTTATGACTAAAAAATATAAAAGAGATATGACTATTTTCACAAGTTTTTAGAAGTAAAAGAATCAACTACAATGGAAGCTATAAGTAGACAAAACTTTGTCATTGTGTTTACTATTTTGCATGTCCAAATTGTCTATGAAATGTTTCTTTCTAAGCAGCTATATTTTCTAAAATGTTTGTACCCCTAATACATTATCAGAACATTTTCATCCATTCATTCAACAACTATTTATTGAATTTTTACTGGGTGCTAAACAATCTGTCAAAGGCTGGGAATATAAAGCCAGATAAGATTCTATTTTTTTGCTCTAGGAGTTTACATCCTAATACAAGATATTGATAAACAAACAAACAAACAAACAAATAAAATTATGATAAATCCACCTTCAATCCAGGGGCTATGGTTTTCTGAAAGAAAGTATGTGACCCAGACTGGAGAGTGAAGGAGATACAAAGAGGTTTTAAGAGTTGAGTTTGAAGAATCAACAGGAATTAGCCAATGAAATATTTAACTAAGGAATTTCAACCTTATTGTAGAGGTAATGAGATCTATATGGTAAGAATTGCATTTCGGAAATGAATTCTAACAACAAATTGGAGAACAAATCGAAGGAGCAAGACTACATAGAAAAAGAAATAAGACCATGCATCCAGATCATCATGAGGCTGATTTCTATGACAATTTCCATCCTTAGTTTCAGTACTAATTTGTTATTTTTCAGCCACGCAATGGAAGATCAGAAGGTTACATTTGAAATGGTATGTATTTCACAATTTAACCCAGTTTGAAATGTTCTATTGTTTTCAGGTATTCACAAATCAAACTATGCTCAAAATATTTCTATTACTTGATTGCATGTATACATTAATATTCTATAGAAATACTACAATGGAAGCAGCTATGAAGGCTATGTGATTAGAAATGCCAGTACTGGGAGCCAGGTTTATCCATGTCCTATCTTCCTCAGGCCATGCCACAGTTGATTTTGTAGACACTGATTTCACCATCATTTATTATGCAAGTACATGTAAGGGATAATGTTCTTACCATGTTAATCAGTGACCACAGGAATGGGTCAGAACTTACAGAACGAATGTATTTCTGTCTCCCAAATGATTCATTTTCAAAGATTCTTTATAAAAGATGTGATTTACTATTGCTAGAGGATAAGAAGATATGGAAGACATAAGAGCATTACTTCTATTTTGGAATTCCCAGTTCCTACTTCAATGTGGAGATATAGTAGACACTTGGTGGCTATTTAATGGTCCTACATGTTTAATAAATACATCAATTCTAATATCATATTAAGAAAGAATATTGAAATTAGTGCCAAATGCAGATAGATAAATTTATAGCACAGAAATAAAAGCATATTCTACTTTATGTAATCCAAAATGCAGATTCTGTACTGGAACATACAGAGTCTAGCACAAATAACACCCCTTTTTTATTACACAAAAATCTTTTATTACAGAATCATAAGCATGTAATTCTGTAACATAACAATATCACACTCAAGCACACCATATGACATTTTAGTGAAATGTTCAAATTGCTGTCGATCTTGTGTGAGACATTCACGTACCCTGCCAACCACGCTCAATGGTATCACTTATGCTGGACCCTGGACTTTGGCAGATATGTCATTCATATCGTTTATCTCAACCCTTACTACATATTTAGCTTATAATGCAATGTAACTAATATATTCTCAAAAAATTAAATTCATTATTTCTAAGTAAAAAAGATATCAGCTCAAAAGTACACAATGCCTAGAAAATAAAGATAATGAAAACACCGAACATCAAAACTTGTGGGACTCGGCCAAAGCCATATTCAGTGGAAAATTCAAAACTATAAATACTTTCAAGCAAGAAAAAATGAGTGATGTAAGCATTTAATTCAGTTAGTTAAAAAAGAACAAGGTGAACCTTAAGAAAGTGAAAGGAATAAAAGTATAAAATGAAAGATAAAATTAGTGAATTATAAAATAGTAAAGGAGAACAATTGTTAAATAAAGCAATTTATCTGATTTACAAAAAATAAAGAACTAGTCTAGCCTAATTAACAAAATGAGAGAAACCATAAATACACAAAAAATATAAATGAAAAGAGAAAAATTCCAACAGATATGGAAGAAATGGATATTATAAAAGAGTCTTTTGTAAATCTCTGTGCCTATCTATTTAGAAACTTACATAAAATAGAGGATTGCCTAATAAAGTAGCTGCTATCAAAATTCACCTAAGAAGAAAGGGAAAAAGTCTAAACAGACTAATGGCTATGGGAAAAAATTGAAAACATTATCCAGAAACTCTCCCCTCAAAAATCCTCTGCCAAAGGATTTTGAAAAATTTCAGCTCAGTTAAGAAAGAAAAATTTCAAAACATTGTTTATTAATCCAGCCATATTTTTTTATGGAGCTAACACCTAAATCTTACAAACTTTTTTATACTACTACTTATAAATTACTTATAAAACTACTTATAAATTTTTAAGCAAAATGTAAAAGAAATATTACTAAACAGTATTCAGTGGTATATTTACAGAATCCCATAATCCCATGAGTGAAGTTTGCTCCAGCAACTCCAGATGCTTCAACATTAGGGAGTATTAAAATATTTTCACTATTAGAAGAAAAATTGTATAGTTACCTCAATAGATGCTTTTCGTAAAATTCCACATCAATTTCTGGTGTTTTAAAAGAAAAAAAGAGATGAATTTTCTCTTCACATTATTTATATAATGGTTTCAAAGTTAATATAGGCTTGATAGTAAAACAATTTGGAACATTTTCGTTTTTTAATTTAACTTATTGTATGTTTTCCATTACCATTTGTCCCCTTACACACCCCTCCTCTAGCAATCACCACACCGGTGCCCATGTCCCGGAGTCCTTTCTCCTTTTTGCTCAAACCCTCCACCCCCTAACCTTCTCCCACCCAGCCATCATCCCCACCTATGAATTTATCAGTGTATGTCAGGAACAAAGCAAAGATGCTCTGTCAACTTTTATTTAATGTGGTTCTTATGCATTAGCCAACTGATATGGACAAGAAAGAAGTAAAAGTTACAAATATGAGGAAAGTGGGGGGGAAATTTAATGTGCTCATGGGGCTCACTTAGGGATTTCGATATTCAAACTATTTCTGGCATTAAATCCTGTTTCAACAAAGCCTGTTGTGTTCATGTCAGAAATATAAGCCAACATATTCTTAATTTTTTCTTTTTTCAAGGAACTAAGAACAAAGTTAATTGAAAAAAACTTTCATAATTTTACAAATGTAGAGGAATTTACATGATGTAAAAGTAGTTTAATGCTAAATGGGAAAAATCTGTGATTGTAACATCAAAGTAAGTATTGCAGTGCTCACATATGTAAAATAGAATAATCTATGATTTGCCCAATTTAGTAAAAAGTTCTCTCTAGAGCCAAGAAAATAGTTTTATTTAGATTGTTTCCAAAATTACGGTCTATATAGACTAGTTCGCTTAGGATTTCATTTTATTTCTGTCAGTAAAAAAACAGTTAAGTAATTATTTTTCTTTGTTTTTCTCATCTGATTATCTGAGGTCTTACTTTGTTCAGATGACTTACATTTATTTATAAACTGTTACACATAATAGGATGATTTAATTGCAAATACATAAGGAAATAAATATTACATGAGGACTACCTATGTAAGTTTTGAAATATTTCACTCATAAGTTTTGATGGTATCAATGCCCTTTAGGAAACCACTTTTATATAGTTATATACTGTAAAATTTTGGAAGATAGAGTCATAACAAAGTAAGTTTTCCATCAAAGAGGTATTAAATGATAGCTAAAACTATACACATTGAGAAAATCTGAGAAATACCTCAGATTTCAGTTTTATCATTTATGAAAAATATTCATAGGAGCTTCTATATACATTACAGGGTGCAGCACAAATAATGCCCCCTTTTTATTACAAAATGTTTCATTACAAAATCATAAGCCTGTAAATCTGTAACATAACAATATCACACTTGAGCACACCATATGACATTTTAGGTGAAGTGTTCAAATTCAAACTGTACGTTATCCTACCAGCCACACTCAAACAGGCATTACTTCTGCTAGACCTTGTATATACACATTCACATACTCATTTGTACTTGAATATAAATTCAATTTTTCTCTTTTTACAGAATACCAGCTATTTTCCACAGAAGCAGTGCCATGGAATACCAAACATATTGATATTTTGTTTTCTCCTCAAAAACAATCCTTGCTAAGTTGAACATGTTTGAGTATTCCTGTGTTGTGAACATTCTCAGTAAAAGTTGGATGAAACTGTAAATGTTTCATTTGCTGAAAATTAAAAAGCATCTTAAAATATTTTTGTAGTGTTGTAATGATAGTGTATAATAAAGCTATAAATTAGGATTTACTTAGATCCTAGAGCTTTGGACACTACATGCTCTGTTGTTATTTTTATTAAAGACACTCAATAGACAATTGAGTTTTAATGAGCTATTTTAGTTGACCCTATTTGGATTTTGCCAGTGACAAAATCACCAGCTCTTATAAATACCAGAATGCCCAAGAGCTAACAGTCTTGTGAATACCAACTAAACCTGCTGGAGGAATACCAGCTAAACCTGTTGGGCGGTTTGGCCATGATCCATCCAACAGTTCAATAAGCAACTTCTGATTTATAGCCTGTAAAATTGATGTATGATTGCTACAAACATATCAGGGGACTAGCTTTTTCTACCAACTAGTAGTATTCACTTTATCTTAAAATAAGTTGTTTTACCTTGCACCATCTGGAAGGCACCCAATCTTGTCCATTACTGGAGGAAAAGTCTCAGACGATCATGAATACACTGGAACAACTTTTTATGTCAAGTCAGGGTTTGGTGGACACAGAATTAACCTCAGATGGATGTTGCGATTATCTCCCTTCAAGTTCCCTTGGGTTTTTTCTTTCTGACACCCCCGCTCTTGCATAACTACCCTACTTCACCAAGCAGATTGCTGGCTGATATAGAGAGGGGTGGCTCTCTGAGTGGACAGGACTAGAGCTCATAGTCTTCAGAGTAGAAATCTGACAAGTCTTTGTCTTATTAATGTTGACCACTGATTATAATTAAATTATGCTTTATACTAATAAAGGCCCTGAGTCTACTTCTCAATCAAGAACATAGTAAAAGAATGGAGCAGAACAGGACAAAAAGTACAGTCAGCTTCAAAAAATGAATAGCTGTGACAAGATGGGGTCTTGAAAGCTGAGAGGGCCTCCTGCTCTAAAGCAGCAGATGGACAGGGTAACATTAGGTAGTGCAATGTATAGTAATCAACTAGCATGAATTTTGGAGAGTCAAAATAAGAAAATGGAGTGGAATACTATTTAAGAAATAGTTCCCAGAGCCTCTCAGAATGCCAGAGACTTGGGCCACTTACATGTTTTGGGACTCACATGATATTAAAATTATTTCAATATCATGTGAGAAAAAATACCAAAATATGTTTACAAAAATGTGGGATGTTTTAAAGTATTTTATATTTAACACAGTATCTTACACACAAACACAAGAAAGTGGATAGGCTATTGGGAGTACAGGCTTTGTTTGTGTTGAGTGTTAACTGAGCTCTACAGATGAAGAGGTCCAATACTGAGCCCAAGCTCAGCATCGCATCCTTAAAAACACTGTCATTTTTTCCTCCAAATCCTATCAGTGCATCTCCGTGACCGGTGTTTATAAACTTCTTCGGCAGTGCCATCAAATGTTTACCCTATGATCCTGGCAGCGCCCGATAAACAGTTCCTTAACCTAAACACCAAGGAACCCACCTATCTAGGTTTCCTACCCCAAACCAGAGCTTCGCTCTACTCACGCAGTGAGTTCTTAAGTTGGAGGTGGAGTGCCGTTGGAGAATCTATCCGTCTGGTCCGTAACTCCCACCACCCCTCCCCCAAACTGTTACACATACAACAAAAATTACGTGTACAGTTGGGGTCTTGGGGTTAGGTATTCCCTAAAATCCACCCAACTATAGGCTATGGGCTCCTAGTTAAGAACTTCTCTGAAGGGTTCTCTCCTCAGCACTTTATCGCTCCAGGAAGATAGGATCGCAGGGTGACAGAGGGCTCGGAAACTGCGCTGATTTGGTGCGGTGTACGGAAGGGTGGGAGGAATGCCAACGTCAGCACCACTTGGTAAACAGAAAAGGCACCATTTGGGGTAAATACCCCAGCACCTAGAGCGTCAGAACCCGCAACCTCCACTGACGGCGCCTCGGCGTTGCCTGGCGACCCCGCGACGTGGGAATCGCGTGCGTAAACGTGCGTAAGAGTCTCTGGTCTCCCCGCCCCCTCCGGGTGTCGGTGGGAACCGCTGGGTCGGCTCGGGTCTCTGTTACCGCCTAGAAGGGACGTCTGAGACGCGAATCCCTCGGCGAGGGTTGGTCGGCACCGTCGCGGGAAAGTAGAGGCCGTACGTCATGCAGGTCGGAGTCCCAGGCCGAAGGCAGTTGGGGGCACCCAGCAGAGTCTTCGACTGGGCCTGAGGCAGATTGGGAATGGGGAGGGCGGCCCACAAGGGTTGGGTTTTAACATTTATTTTTGGTAAGAGCTAAATTTTGCCTGCATCTTAAGATGGAAGAGAAATCCAAATAAACTCCAACAGAGGGCCATTTTTTTTTTCTCAAGGTTTGTCGCTGGAGGTTAGTTGTTTGGGATTGTGTTCACACCTCTATCTTGGGAATCTTAAGGCTGCACTACTTCTGACTTACAAACAGATCAGCAGCTTTAGCCCAAGAGTGATTCAATTTATATATCCCACCCCACAACCTTAAGAACAATCAGAATGAAAACCCTAGTAGTTGCATCTATATTGAGAACGTCCCTGAAGTTTCTCCTATCTGATCACAAAAGCTCTGTTGTTAGACTTCCATTTATTTAGAAGGTTGCACCTCTGTCTAAAATGCCTGCTCTTTTGTTCCTTTATCAGAGTAAGATTCTCACTTTCTGACTTAGAGAAACAGCTTCTTCCCACCTGCTTCCCCGAAGTAAAACCACTGATTTTTTTTTGTTTTACATACTTACTTTTGGTAATCATACATACTGTATAATTTATTAGGATATTTTTAGCTACTTGTAATTTTAATGGGTAGTCCTTTTGTGTTAATTATATATTCCTAACTAGTACATTTTATCCAGTGTATGCAGTGTATACATTTCTATACACCGGTGTATCATTTCTATGCACCATGAATAATCAGAAAGGAAATTAAGAAAACAATTCCATGTATGAATGCACCCAAAAAGAACAAAGTACTTAGGAATAAATGTAACTAAGGAGGCAAAGGACTTGTACACGGAACACTACAAAACATTGCTGAAAGAAATTAAATAAGAAATAAATAAATAGAAGAACATCACGCCTTTGTAGATTCGAAGACTTAATATTGTTAAGATGTCAATACGCAATGCAATCTATAAATTCAGTGAAATCCCTTGCGAAATCCCAGAGATATTTTTGTAAAAATAGAAAAACCCATCCTAAAATTCATGTGAAATCATGAGACCCAAAGTAGCCAAAACAGTCTTGAAAAAATTAACAAAGAAAGAAGGTACACATTTTCTGATTTCAAAACATGCTACAAAGTAACAGTAATCAAAACAGTCTGGTACTGCCAGGAAGAGATACAGATCAATGGGATAGACTAGAACACCCAGAAAGAAGCCCTCACATGTGCTGTCAAATGATATTCAATAAGGGTGGCAAGACCATTAAGTGAAAGGATAGTTTCTTTGACAAATGGTGTCAGGAAAACTAACCACATGCAGAAGAATGAAGTTGGACTCCTAGCTCACATTATAAATAAATAGTAACTGAAAAAGGATCAAACAACCTAGAAGTGAGAACTAAAACTATAAGACACTTAGAAGAAAATATAGGGAGAAATTGCCATGACATTGGATTGGCAATGATTTCTAGGACATTACACCAAAAAGGAAAAAATATATAAATTGAACATCAAAATTTAAACTTTTATGCATCAAAAGACACTATTGATAGAATGAAAATACAAAGCACAGAATGGGAGAAAATAGTTTCAAAATATATATTTGATTAAAAATAACATGCAGAATATAAAAAAACTCAATACCAAAACTATAAACCAATAAAAATAAGGATATAAAAAGATGCTCCACATCTGTGTCATCAGGGAAATGCAAATTAAAGCAATAAGAGACCACTTCACACCTACGAAATGACCAAAATCAGGAACACTGACAAGAGCTAGTACTAGTGAGAATGTGGAAGAAATAGGAGCTCTCTCTCATTCATTGCTGGTGGGAATGCAAAATGGTACAGCCTTTGGAAGACTCATCATATCTTACCACTTGATCCAGCAGTCACATTCCTTGTTACTTATCCAAAGGAGCTGAAAACTTTATATTTACATAAAAAGTGTACACAAATGTTTATAGCAGCTTTATTTATTACTACCAAAATTTGGAGGCAATCATTATGTCCTTCAGTAGGTAAGTGAGTGTATAAACTGTGGTACATGCAGATAATGGAATATTATTTAGCACTAAAAAGAAATGATCCAGCCATGAAAAGGCATGGAGGTAACAGATGAGTATTACAAAGTGAAAGAAGCCAATCTGAGAAAGCTCATACTGGATAATCTTGACTGTATACCATTCTCGAAAAGGCAAAACTATGGAAACAATGAAAAGGTCAGTGGTTGCCAGAGGTTAGGAGGGGAAGGGATGAGTAAACAAAGCACAGAGGATTTTGAGGGCACTGTAAATGTTCTATCATATCACAGTCATGGCTACATGTCATCACACATTTTTGTCCAAACCATGTACTGTACACCAAGAGTGAAGCATAATGTACAATATGAACATTGGGTGATTATGACATGTCAGTGTAGGTTCATCGATTGTAACAAATATATCATTCTTGTAGAGGATGTTGATAATGGGGGAGGCTGTGCATGTGTGGGGGCAGGAGGCTTATTAGAAGTCTCTGTACCTTACACTCAATTTTGCTGTGAACCCAAAAGTCCTAATAAAAAAAACTGTTCCTATTTACCCTCTTTTTTTAAAAATTTTGGTTTTAAATGAGGAATCTGCTTTAAACAAAGGTATCACCTTGGTGGTGGATGTTGATAATGGGGTGTCCATGCATTCATGGGACAGAAAATACATGGGAAATCTCTGTATTCTCCCCTCAATTTTGCTGTGAACCTAAACCTGGCCTAAAAATTGTCTTGATTTAAAAATAAAACATAAAAAAGTGGGCAAAGAACTTGAACAGACATCTCTCCAAAGAAAATATACAATAGCTAATATGCACATGAAAGGATGCTCAGTATCTTTACTCATTAGAGAAACGTAAAGACAACAATGAGAGACCGCATCCATTAGGAAAACCATTATTAAAAACAGAAAACTGACAAGTGTTGGTGAGAATATGGAGAAGCTGGAACCCTTGTGTATTGCTGGTAGGATTGTAAAGAGGTATAACTACTGTGAACAAGATTAGGCAGTTCCTTTAAAAATTACACAGAATTATACGATCCAGCAGTTCTACTCCTAGGTGTATTGTCATAAGAATTGAAAACAGGAACTCTAAATAAGTATTTGTGCACATATGTTCATAGCAGCATTATTCACACTGGCCAGAAGATGGAAACAATGCAGATGTCCATCATTGGATGAACAGAGAAACTATGGTGTGAACATACAATGAAATATTATTCAGCCTTAAAATACAAGGAAACTCTGTTATGTGCTTCAACATGGATGATCTTTGAAAACGTGTAAAATGAAATAGGCCAGTCACAAAAGGACAAATAGAGTCACATACCACAAAATAAGTATATTTTTGGTTGATGATGGACTGCATAGATGGTGGTGGTCCTAGATTATAATGGAGCTGAATTCCCTGTAAGAAATAGAAAGACATGTGGTTCAGGAAGAATTTTTTTTCTCTAATGGGAACAATATCCAGAAGCTTGGCAGTAGATTTCCTCCCACTCACAGAAGCCCCATTTTGAGTGCTCAGATTGCACCCCAGTCAGTCAGCCACTGACCTGTTTCAGCACAGAGGAGCCTGTCCCTGCTAATTCAACATATTCAGAAGGTGCTACACTCCTCTCAGTTGTAGCTGAGTACAGTGCTATTAATTCTTTGTTGAAGAACTAAAATCCCGTGTAAGGACACAAGTCCACAGGAGCCAGTAAGTATTAAGTGCCACTGTCACTTTAGTACAAGCTTTCTGAGGTAGTGTGGAGCTGGCCTGTTCTTATACTTTGGAAGTATTTTCAGGTTGTACTGAAATAAAGCATGCGTTTTATTTCTTTCATAAATTCAATGCCAGAGTGAGCCCTTTTTGCCAGATAGGGTCAGAAACAAATTTCCAAAGTCAAACTATTGAGTCCTCAGTTCTACACCCTTTCCATGTTATATGCCCTCTTTTTTTTTTTAGTTGAATACCATGGAGTTCACTAATCTGACCACGGCTCCAACATACAATTGCCAAAACCACATTGCTATGACAATCTCCAATGTCCCCTTGTCTCCATCTTGATTTCTTATTTCTGTTTCTCGAGCCAGCATTCATTTCCTCCTGACAGTCACTATTAATGGTAATCTATACCTAACTCAGCCAGTTCCTCCTCAATATTTCAACCAGTGCAGTCCACATTCCAGCTCATTGAGCACCACTGACTGCTCTAGTGTTCTATTTCCGACACTGCTGGAAAGAAGCAGGGGACGGGCTTGTGGGACAATGTTTATCAAATCTACAGGTAGTATTCAGCAATGTCCTAGGCCTTCACATTCACTCACTGACTCACCCAGCAACTTCTAATCCTGCAAACTCCAGTCATGGTTAGTTCCATGTATGGTTGCACCACTTTTTAATATTTTATACCATATTTCTGCTGTACTTTTCTATGTTTAGATACACAAATACCATTGTGTTATAATTGCCTACAGTATTCAGTCCAGTAATATGCTCTGTAAGTTAGTGGCCTAGGAGCAATCAGCTATACTTGTAGTCAAGACATGTAGTAAGCTAGACCATCTAAAGTTGTATGAGTGTACTCTATGATGTTTGAATGACAGTGAAGTTGCCTGACACCTTTCTCAGAATGTATCCTTGTCATTAGTGACACATGACTATATACTTGGCATATTTTATGTAAAATAGTACAATATTAAATCTAGGTAAACTGTAATAAGTTAAAGATACTCATTATAATTTTAGAACAAATATTAAGACAATAGTACAAAGATGTATACCTAAAACTTGAGTTGTAAAATATGGAATCTTAAAAAATATTTAAGCAAAAGAAGGCAAGAAAGGAAGAGAGGAACAAAAAACTATGAGACTAATAAAAAAATCAGATGATAGTTGTTCTAAATCCAGTATTAACAATTATGTTAAATGTAAATGGGCTAACACTTTAATTAAAAAGTAGAGATTGTCAGAATAGACAACAAAGCAAGATCTAACTATAAATGATTGCCAGAAGACACAGTTGAAATGCAGACACAAAGATGGGTTGAAAAGAAGAAAATTAAAAATGACTTACTTTAAAAGTAATTAGGAATACACTAGAGAAAGACTATATTAGTATGAAACAAAATAGACATCATGATCAAAATTACCAGTAGAAATAAAAAGAAATATAATAATAGAAGGAGAAACTCACCAGGGAAAGATTACAAAATAAAACTGTATTTGCATAATGAAGCTTCAAACACATAAAGCAAAAACTAACAGAATTTAAGGAAGAAATAGGCAAATTCACAACCATAATTTGAGATTTAAATATTTTCCTTCTATTAATTGATAGAACAATAAGATACAAAAATTGCTAACAAATAGAAGATACAAACCTGTAAACCATTCACTGATTTATAGAGATACACATATATCAATAGCAGAATACACATTTTTTTAAGCATTCAGTAAGCATACACAGTATGGTGTATTCACTAAGATAAACCATATGCTTGGTCATAAAACAAGCCAATATGTTTAAAATTTTAAATCTTGCCAAAGTATATTTCTGACAAGAAGAATTAAATTAGAAATCCCAAATTATTTAAAAATTGAACAGTATCCTTGGAAATAATAGAAATGTCAGTAAAAAAAATCACGAGTGAGATAAATATTTTAACTGATAAAAATACAGCATACTAAAATGTGTAGGATGTAGCTAAAGAATTTTCTTAAGGGAAATTTATAGCTTTTAAGTGTTTATATTAGAAAAGAAAAGTTATGGTCAATGATCTAAGCTTCCACCTTAAATAGAAAAAACGGTGAACAAAATACAATAGAGAGGAGCTTCTTTTTAAATATTTGTTTTCCTCTCAAGACTCCATATTACAAGTCCATAGTAATCAAAACAGCATGGTGTTAATGCACACACAGACACATAGATCCATGGGACAGAATAGAGAGCCCAGAAATGAACCCATACCTGGAATATTCAGTAAACACCTGGAATATTCAATATTAAATAAAACCCACAGATGGAATATTCAATAAACGGTGTTGGGAAAATTGGACACATAGGTGAAGAAAAATGAAACCAGGCCATCTTCTTACACCACACAAAAGAATAAATTCAAAGTGGTTCAGAGACTTAAATGTTAGACCTGAAACCATAAAAATCCTAGAAAAAAACATAGGTGACAAAATCTCGAACATTGCTCATAGCAATTTTTTTATCAGATGTGTCTTCCCAGGCAAGGGAAACAAAAGAAAAAAATAAACAACCAGGACTACATCAAACTAAAAAGTTTTTGCACAGCAAAGGAAATCATCAACAAAATTAAAAAGACAACCTACAGAATGGAAGAATATATTTACCGATACTTCTTATAAAGGGTTAATATCCAAAATCTATGAAGTATTTACAAAACTCAACAACAAAAAAACAACCCAGTTAAAAAATAGGCAAAAGATCTAAATAGACACTTCTCCAAAGAGGGCACACAGATGGTCCATAGACATATCAAAAGATGGTCAACATCAGTAATGATCAGAGAAATGCAAATTAAACCACAATGAGATACCATCTCACACCTGTCAGAATGGCTATCATCAATAAATCAATAAACAAGTGCTGGTGAGGATGTGGGGAAAAGGAAACTTTTTTGTACTGTTGGTGGCAATGTAACCACTGTGGAAAGCATCATGGAGATACTTAAAAAATTAAAAATGAAACTCCTTTTGACCCAGTGATCCCACTTCTGGGAATATATTCAAAGGAACTCAAAACACAAATTTGAAAGAACATAAGCACCTCTATGTTCATTGCAGAGTTATTTACAGTCGCCAAGATATGGAAGCAGTCTAAGTGTCCATCAGTAGATGAGTGGATAAAGCAACTATGGGACATTTACACAATGAAATACTACTGGGCCATAAGAAAGAAGAAAATTTTACTCTTTGTGACAGCATGGATGGACCAGGAGAACATGATTCTAAGTGAAATAAGCCAGTCAGAGAAAGACAAACACCATATGATTTCACTCATTTGTGGAATCTAACGAACAAACTGAACTAACAAGTAAAATGGGAACAGATTCATAGATGGAGAGTGGGATAACAGCTAGTGGGGGGAGGTTAGGAGGTGGAGGATTTGAGCAAAAAAAGAAGAAGGACTCATGGACATGGACAACAGTGTGGTGATTGCTGAGGGGAGGGGAGTATAAGAGGACTAAATGGTAATGGAAGAAATACAATAAAGATTAAATTAAAAAGGGGGGAGCAGGGGCCGGGCGGTTTTTTTTAATAATTAATTTAATTTTAAAAAACTTTGCACAACAAACAAAAAATGGTGATTAAATTAATAAAAATAAAAAAAAAAAAAAATGGGTTTATAAGAAAATTTGGTATCAAAAAAAAAAAAAAAGAAAAAGGGGGTGTTATTGGGGTTGAGACCAAATACATAGCTATAGAATTTTTATTATTAAAATATTGACATTGGCTGATTAAAATAGTTCCCATTTTTCATTTCTAATATTAGTTATTTGTGCCTTCTCACTTTTTAAAATTAGAATTGGCAAGTGTTTACAAATTTCATTAGTCTTGTTTAAGAATCAATTGTTAGCCTTTACGTTTGTTATATATTCATTTTTTCATTTCATCAGTTTCTACTTTCACCCTCATTATTTCCTTACCTCTACTTTTGACAAATTTTGGTGTTATTTTTCCAAAGTAGGAGGCTTATGACTTAATTTTGAAGACTTTTTTATTTTCTAGTATGTTAAATTAAGGGTATAAAAATCCTTTTATGAACTGTTTAATTGAAGCTCACTATGTTTTATATGTGGTTTTATTGCTGTCACAAAATTCCTAATGTTTTTAGATTCCCTTGTGGTTTCTTCTTTGACCCATGGGTTGTTTAGAATTTTTTTCCCTAAAATTCCAGACATATGATGTTCTCCCAGTTACTCTTTTAAAAATTGATTTCTGCCTTTGGTCACTGTGCTCATACTTATGGACCTTTATTTAATTTCTTAGCCTCTCGGCCTCTTGCAGTTAGCTATTGTTTTATAACAAATTACCACAAACTTCATGGCTTAAAACATGGTTTCTATCATTTATTATCTCAGAATTTTTATGGGTCAAGGATCCATGCACTACTTAGCTGGGCCCTCTGCTTCCGAGTCTCCTACAGAGTTGCAATCACAGTGTCAACCAGATCTGAGGTCCCGTTTGAAGTGATCACAGAGAAAGAATCCACTTCTAAGTTCCCTTATCAGGTGTGTCAAACTCATTTCCAGTGGGGCCACATCAGCCTCTCCCTTGCCTTCAAAAGGCCCAATGTAATTTCAACATCATAACAGTTAGGGAGTAGTTACATTTATCCCAGCCTAAACTTATTTTGGCCCTTTGAAGGCAATGGCAAGGCTGATGTGGCCCCCAGTGAAAATGAGTTTGACACACCTGTCTTTCATAGTAGTTGGGTCTATTTGACTGAGGACCTCAGTTTCTAGGTAATTGTTGGCTACATTTGCCTTGTCATGTAGTTCTCTCCATAGGACAACTCACAATATGGCAATTTGCTTCATTGAAGCCAGCGAGTGAGAGAGAGTGCTGGCAAGATAGAAGTTGCCATCTATAGAATTTCAATCACAGAAATGGCATTTCTTCACTTTTGTCATATTTTGTTGGTAACAGCACAGCACAGTTCTCACCCATAATTAAGGAGAGGGGATTGTTCAGGGATGTGAATACCAGAAAGTGGAGCTCAGCCAAGGCCATCTTATAGTTGGTTTGCCACAGTATTCATTCCCTTCTTCTGGAAATACCAGAAAGAAATGGACAGCAAATTAGAGAAACAGTAGTTAACATAAGATAAGCAACTTCTATAAATGCAGAAATCAATATATCAAATCCTAAGTAATAAGGAACAAAAGGTAATTTGCATAGAAGGAAATTATGATTGGACAGAAATTAACCTATAGGAAAATTCCTGGCCTCTTCTAAGATTTGCCTTGGGAATACAGGCCCTGCAAAGCATACATTGTAGCTCAAAAGAGAAGCAAGTTTACCAGGAGGTCTTGAATGTGCATGTGGAACTAGAAACAAAACAGTATTTGTTCATAATGAGAGTTGGTTTTGCCTACTACAGTCATCAGAAAATGTTCCATGGCCTTTTGAGTTTACTTCATTAATATTTTATATGTGTTCTAATTTTTTAAAATCTCTGTTATTTTCCTCAGTAAAGAATATATTCTGTTTATCTAAGTATGTAGTTCCATTAGTTCTGGGAAATGGGAAAAAAGTAGACCACTTTGTTTTATTCTTTGAAACTAATGTATGTAGTTATCTGTAGAGTTCATTGCATAGTTGGAAATTCTACATATCAATTTTATACATAATAAAATGCACAATTATATTAACAGATTTTTTTTCTATTTTTATATAGGATCCAAATGAAGATACAGAATGGAATGAAATTTTAAGAGATTTTGGCATTCTTCCTCCAAAAGAAGAGCCAAAAGATGAAATTGAAGAGATGGTTTTACGTTTACAGAAAGAAGCAATGGGTATAGTTATGCATTTGGTGGGCTGGATGAAGGGGATAATATAATTATTATAATGATAGTGTATTTCATAAACCTCAAGGGAGAGAGGACATTAGAAATCATTTAGTATGTCCCACCCATACTTGTGCTGATATCTGAAGTTCCTAATTCATGTGTTGAAATTCACATGCTAGTTAATAATAGAGCTAAAATTTACTGATACTTTTTCCTTCTCTACCATATTTCTCTACCTTGTAATTACCTCCTATTTTGATTATTCTATATAGTATACATTATTTGTCAAGATTTTCTGGCACTTGGAAAAAATCTAAATTTATAGGGTCTATTTTATTATTTTTCCATCACTATTTATGCCCCCCTATACCCTCTTCCACCACTAATTGATTTTTACATTTACTTGTACATGTAGCCTAGTAGTTCTGTGAACTCTGAGCGGGTAATAACTCTAAGCAAACCTGAAGCAGTCAGACTGAAAGTAATGTTATAAATTGCAGGCACTGCAACATTAAAGATTGTCTCAATCTCCATTTATTTAATATATCATTTTCTCTAGACATGTGACTGTAAAGTAAAATTATTTTTAAGCAATTCAATTGTCCACAATTTATTTTGTTTTAGTTAAACCATATGAAAAGATGACTCTTGCACAGTTGAAGGAAGCTGAAGATGAATTTGATGATGAAGATATGAGAGCTATTGAAACATATAGGTACAGTGATTCATTGGGATGATTGATGAGTTTTGGAAAGAAGTGTTGTAAGCATGAAACTAAGACAAAGCCCCATTTTATCTACACAATAGATTAAAAAATAACAAAACTAATTTTAAAGATTTTAAAACTAACATATAAGGCAGAATTTTTTTCTAATTTTTTGCCTTTGCCTAAATTAAAAACTATCCCACAAAACTTCATCAAGTGACATGAGTAAAGTGGAAAGTATCCATAAATGTCCAATAAAAGGAGGGCCATAACTTTCATTCTGGCATGCTGTCTGTCAATGATTTCTATCATTTAACAATTAATTGCAAGTCGTAAATTCTCTCAGAAATTAGAATAGGTACATACATTACCTAACTTATCTTGGTACTAAAAACAAAGAAATTATAAAAATAGAACACTATAGAAAAATATTTCTTATGAATGTAGGCACAAAATTTTAAACAAAATATTAGCAAATTAAGTCTAGCAATTTTTTTTAAAAAAGAATAATACACTTTGAACAAGTAGTACTGGTCCCAGGAATGCAAGGTTGTTTTTAACATTAAAAAAAAAAGCAAAACTCAGTGAATTGGGCTACACGCAGCAATACTCAAGTAGCAGTGAACACACCTAGCATGCATAAAAAAAATAGAACCAGCGTGCCTTGGAAAATTGCTTTATTACACAGTGTGAGTTGAGAAAGTACAATATGAGTCTTGACCATCTTATGGTGCCCACAAGTAAAGAAGTGATACAATGTTTTTTAGGCATAAGAGCCAACCTAAAAGATCCCTCAATGACCAGAGTTGGGACAACTTGAATAATAAAATAAATATAATATTGGATTATAAAACAAATAATAAAATAAATATTCATGAGTTCATAGTGAGATAAATAATGAACTGAATACATGAACAAATTCAGAAGATGTAACACTTCTTCCTCAGTAAAGAATTCTCATTAATAAGTGTATATGGAATGAGGAAAATAGGAAAATTACCTTCAGAACACCACAACAATGATCCCCCATGGCAAAATCTGCTGATAGATGCTAAAATGAGTGGGTGAAACTTTAAGAAGCACAGTATTTGCATAATCTCAAAGTATCTCCCCCTCCAAATATGCACTAATTATAAAGGAGGACATTGTAAGTTTACAGTGTAGAGTCTTGGTGGACCCCATCTTAGGAAAATGACCAAGGGTAAAATCACAAATGATACATGGGGACATTAAGTAACTTGAGATATGATGTGCCGGAGAGGACACATACCCTCTGTGTTATCTTTTAAAATAATTCATAATCTAAATCTAATCATAAGAATACATAACAGAAACTGAAATTTGAAGGGCTTTCAACAAACTGACCAGGTTGCCTTCCCCAGGTGGCTCGGTTAGAATGTATGCAAAAAGTTTGTGGGTTTGGTCCCCGGTCAGGGCGTGTATGGGAGGCAACCAACTGATGTTTCTCTCTTATATCAGTGTTTCTCTCTGTCTCTCTTTCCCTTCCTCTCTCTTTCTCTACAATCAGTAAACATATTTTCAGATGAGGATTGAAAAAAAATTGACCAGGTTTATGCCAGGAAAAATGGCAGAGTAGAAAACTCCAGAAATCCATCTTTTTACCTAGACAGCAGTTGTACTTGTTGAAACTGAAGTGGCAGCTTTGGAATTCTGGAGGCTATTTGAACCTCGCAGCTTCCAGGATGAAACTCTGCTGGTAAATTGTAGTGAGTATTAGTTGGTTTCAGTCCTCGGTTGGCATCCTGCCCTCGCCCTCCAGCTTCACGTCAGGCAGCTGTGTGGACAGTAATCTTTATTTCTAGAAAAGCTTCCTGGGGGGGGAACAATAAGGACTTTGTTGTAAAATATCAAGGTTCTGTGTCAAATGTGAAGATTTTCTGTTCTGATTGTGGATTGCTGCTTCTGATTGAAAAGGTATAGGCACAGAGTCTGGTCATCATTGTGTCAATCCCCACTGGCTAAGGTAGCTTCCAGAGCATTTAAAAGAGCCATATCTATTTTTTAAAAGATATTAAAAACAGCAATAGATATGGGGGAGTTTAAAAGTCTTGGGAAAGATGAAGGCTCAGAGAGGACCTAACAGTTTCACCTCAGGCTGATCCCTGGCATAGAGACACCCTACAATAATAATAAAACAAACTGTGGGGAAGGAAGATCTGATTTCTAGAGTTACCACATTATATGAATCAAATGTTTATCTTTCAACAAAAAAATTACAGAAGAAACAGGAAAATGTGTCCAATTCAAAGGAACAAAATAAATAAATACAAAATATGCCTGAGGAAGCCCAGATGTCAGACTTACTAGGCAAAGCCTTTAAGACAACTGAGTTAAAGGTGCTCAAAGAGCTAAAGATACACATGGACAAAGACAGGAAAGCATTGTATGAACATAATGAGAATACCAATAAAGAGACAGAAATTATAAAAAGGAACCAAGATAATAGTCTGAAACAAAACAGTAAGATAGCTGAAGTGAAGTATACACTGGGGCTTTAAAAGCACATTTCAACAAGCAGAAGAAAGGATCAGCAAATTTGAAGATAGGGCAATTAAAATTATTGAGAAATAGGAAAAAAAGAAAAAGAAAAATGAACAGAGCCTAACTGTCATTGTGGTTACTATTAAGTGAACCAACACATGTAATGTGGGAATCCCAGCCAAAGAAAAAAGAAATTGACAGAAGGAATATTTGAAGAAATAATGGCTGAAAAATTTCCAAGTTTGACAAAATCCTAAGTCTACAAATCCAAGATGCTCAATGAATTTCAAGTAGGATAAACTCAAAGAGACCTACACAAAGATATGTCATTATCATCTGTGGAAATACAAAGATAGAAGCTTGAAATCAGTAAGAGAAAAGGGACTTGTCACAAACAAAGGACTCTAAGAATCATCAACCAAATTCTCATCAGAAATCTTAGAAGGCCAGAAGGCTGTGAGCTGATATATTTAAAATGCTGCAGGAAAAAACTGTCAAGCAAGAGTTATCTATCTGGCAAAAAAAAAAAGAACCCAAAAACCAAAAAAGAAAAAAAAACACAACTATGCTACAGGAATGAAGGAGAAATTAAAACAGTCCTATATTAAAGCTAAGTTTTTACTACTACAATTGTGCTAAAAAATTAGGAGTCCTTCAGATTAAAATTAAAAGCTACTAGATAGTAACTCAAAGCCATATGAAGAAATAAATAACATAAGTAAATGTAACTGTATAGGTAAACATAAAAGTCAGTATTACTATCCTTTTGATTTTTAACCATTTTTCCTGTATGCTTTAAGAGGCAAATGCATAAAACAATACTTATAAATCTGTGTGAATAAGTACATAATATATAACAGTGTAGCCTGTAACAAAAATATGAAGGGGGATGCTCTGGCAAGGTGGCTCGGTTGACTGGAGCATTGTCCTGTTCACCAAAAGGTTGCAGGTTTGATTCCTGGTCAGGGCACATAACTGGGTTGTAGGTTTGATTCTTGGTTGGGGCACATACAAGAAGCAACCCATTGGTGTTTTTTCTCTCTCTCTCTTTCCCTTCCTTTCTTTCTAAAATCCATGAACATATCCTCAGGTGAAAATTTATATATATATATATATATATATATATATATATATATATATATATATATATTTATTTATTTATTTATTTATATTTAAAGTGAAAGGTGAGATGGAGATAATATAAGAAGCAAAGCATTACTGACAGTAAGTCATTATAAGCTACTAATTTTAATTCTTAAGATAACCATTAAAATACATAAAAGAAAAAAGAAGGAAATAAAAATGGTACACTACAAATATCAGCTAAATGCAAAAAGAAACAGTGATAGAACATTGAGGAACAAAAACTATAACAAATACTGAAAATAACTAAGTGGCAGAAGTCCTGCTTTATCAGTAATTACTTTGTTATGTTGGTTCCACACTGTAGATACTGATGCTATTGTTTAGGAATGCCTGAGGCACTCACCTCATCTGTATTACTCATATCTGGTGGCTGAAGCAGCTCTTGTGGTTCTTATTATGACTGTCTTCCCCAAGAAACCATCAGGAAACTTTGATGAACAAGAGTATTACTCACAGGTCCTGGAGGATACATGACATGTCTGAGATCCATACAGCCAGGTCAGAGAGAGAGAGAGAGAGAGAGAGAGAGAGAATATGAACTTGTGGTTCTGCCTTTATGGGTTCCAGTGGTAGGGTGTCTGGATTTTGAGAGTTCACTATTTGTTGGCTAATTTAGGGCATAATTAGAGTACAGAACAGATAAGCAGTGTAACTCATACAGTTAGTTGTATAGGTTACCCAGAGCTTTCTGTAAGAGGGAGCTTCATGAATGGGGCAGCCTAATTTTTAGTTAGGTGTTTTTTGCTAGTTGCTATGTCATACAGCTGGCAATACGTTGTTCGAGATGGATGTCTTTTGAAATGGATGACTTGGCAACCAAAGCTTAATGTCAGACACTTAAACTACAATCAAAAAGCTTCATGTCAGGTAATTATATATTATAAATATAAATAGATTTTAATTCAATTAATCTCTGATTAAAGGCAGAAATTGGCAGAATGAATAAAAAGAAACACAATCCAGATTCTGCAAAGCAAAGCCATCTTGAGAAAGAACAAAGTTGGAGGACCCACACTTCCTGATTTCAAAACTTACTATAAGGCAACAGTCATCAAAACAGTGCAGCAGTGACAATAGGATGGACATATGGACCAACAGAATAGAAAGCTCAGAAAGAAACTTTCTCATATATCATTAAATGGTTTTCAATGAGGGTACCAGAACTATTCAATGGGAAAAGGTCAATCTTTTCAACAAATATTGCTAGGAAAATTGGATGTCCACATGCAGAACAACGAAGTTGACAGACCAGTTTTGCAATGTTGTTCTGGGAGTCGTTCCTGGTAGCCCAGTTTAGATCCTCCTCCATCTTTCCATTGAATTTGTAAACTTAATTCTGAAGATTAAGTTTCTTGCTGCTTAAAATAGCTAGAGGGCTTTTTGTTTATGCAACTGAATCCCAAATGGTATGATTGTTGGGTGTAAAATGCAGGCCACTAAGCACTAAATCACTTCCTGATGGCAAAACTAACCTAGGTCTTTATGTTTCTCCCTGCCTAATTCTACTGAAGTAGCAAAGAAATATGAGGAAGAGAAGGAGGAAGAGGAGAGGAGGAAGGGATAAAGTTGATAGCTGCACCACTAAGTAGGGCATGGTGCAATCATGGGAACAAAAGGTTTTTGAAATTTTTGAGAGACGATAAGCCAAAGAGATCAAATTGAGGAAAGTTAATGATGATGCTAAATATTCAATGCAAGTAAAATCTAGCTCCCAAAAGGTCTTTGGATTAACTGTAGATTATGAATATCTGGGTCAGTAGGGGGAAAATTGAAGGACTTCAGTTTGAAAACTGTGAGAGGGCCCTAATGTGGATCGTTGTCCTAGGGATTCTCCTCTAGGCTTTATTTTGCTTGGATTACTTGTTACATAGGGTGGTTTTACCTGACATGTTTCTAATATGTGAAATAAAGCAGACTTTTAAAATATAACAAGGATTTTGTTCAGGTATAATGAAGCCAACAGATCAGGAAATTCCATTGAAAAGATAGTTTTTTTACTCACAGCTCAAGAATAGAGGGCATGTGCCACAATGCGGGGCCACACAGGGAAGCATTAGAGTTGGCTGAGAGGCAGAAGGAGTGAGGGGGTAGCCTGGACCCCGGCCAGCTTTCACTGTGGTTTCTGTGGGAAATGCAAGCTAAGCAGGGTAAGCAGATTTATTTAGAGTAGGCTAGTTTGAATATGGAAGTACTGCTCCAATTTTGCCCTAATGTCAAACTCCTCTGGGGATCAGAAAACCTCTGTAACAACTGTTCTGTCTAGGAACCTATTTCATTAGCAAAGATTGGGAGAAAATAATTGCAGAAGACACATCTGATAGAGGACTGTTATCCTTGTTACACAAAAGCTCTAAAAACTCAACAATAAGAAAACAGTCTGATTAAAAGTGGGCAAAGACCTTAACAGACACCTAACCAAAGAAGATACACAGATGACAAATAAGCATATAAAAGGATGCTGCACATCTGTGTCTTCAGGAAAATGCAAGCTAAAACAAGAGACCGCTATATATACTTAAAGAAATGTCCAAAGTCTGGACCACTGACACCACCAAATGCCAGAGAGGATGGCAAGCAACAGGAACTCTCATTCATTGGTGGTGGAAATGCAAAATGGTACAGCTTTTGGCAAACAATTTAAACATTTGTTATAAAACTAAACATATTCTTACCATGTGATCCAGTTATTGCACTTCTTGGTATCTATACAAAGGAGCTGAAAATTTATGTCTACATAAAAACCTAATCATGGACGTTCATAGCAGCATTATTAATCACTGTCAAAACTTGGAAGTAACAAAGATATCCTCTAGTAGGAGAATGGATGGACAAATTGTGGTACATCTACATAATAGAATATTATTCAATACTAAAATAAATGACCTATCCATGGAAAGACGTGGAGGAAACTTAAATGCATGTTGTGAAAGAAGCCAATTTGAGAAGGTGATTGTACGAATCCCAGCTATATAATAATCTGGAAAAAGCAAAGCTATGGAGATACTAAAAGGATCAGTGGTTGTCAGGGGTTGACAGAGGGGAGAAATGAATAGACAAAGCACAGAGGATTTTAGAGCACTGAAAATGTTTTGTATGATACCAGAATGATGGATACATGTCATCACGCATTTTCCCAAGCTCATAGAATGTACAACACCAAGAATGAAGTGTAATAATGTACATTGTGAACTTTGGGTGATTATGCTATTTTGATATAGGTTCATCAATTATAACAAATATATCACTCTTGTGGGGGATGTTGGTAATGGAGGAGGCCATGCATGTGTGGGGTCAGGAAGCCTATAAGAAATCTCTATACCATCCACTCAGTTTTTGCTATGAACCTAAATATTGGCCAGGTAGATTTTACAGTTAACATTTTGTCTGGTACCTGGCCCAGGGCCAATTATGGCAGAGGGATAGTGGCTCAGTTTAATGAAGGAGGCGATTGAGGGATTCGGCTCTGGTCTGGGGTTGGTTTGCATTTGAGGAATTTGCTCTCCGGTGAGAGGTTGCTATCTTTTGGAATTAGCTAGACCTGGGAGGGGCAGTCTGTCCAGGATCAGCAAGGCCTCAGAAGCGAGAGCACCAAGAATACAGAAAATAAGAAAATATAGTTAATCCACAGGAAAAAAGGAGAGTATTTCAAAGAAAACTTAGAGCTATAGAGTCAGTAACTTTTAAGAAACCTGCACATGCTTCAGAAAACATCTGTGTTTGCTTCATGAATTCAAGTATTCAATAAGTGAATCAGAGTATGCACATTTTGGAGCTGTTTAAGAAAGTTTTAATGCTCCTTATAGGTAAATAACTAGGTAATGTGGAATGCTGTGTGCTAGGCACCATCCTAAGAAATTTACATGTATTAGCTAATTCTCGGCAATCCCATGCAAGTAAGTATTAGTATTAATCCCTTGTAGTTGGAGAAACTGAGGTTTAAAGAGAACAATTAATCTGCGCAGGTTCATGCTGCTAGTAAGTGGGATCTGGTATCTAAATCCAGTTTAGTATGATCTTAGAGTTCAAACTTGTCATTCTTCTCTACCACCTGTCTACCTGCAATGAATTTTATAATGAGTAATTATACATATTCACAAAGGCTTTGGACTGAAGGTCAGCTTAGCATGATAGTTAAGAGCATGTAAATGGGGATAGTAATAGTATTAACTTTACACAGTTTTTGCAAGGATTAGTTAGTGTAATGCACTTGAAACCGTGTCTGGCAACATAATTAGCACTCAGTAAATGTTAGCCATTATTATTATATAAGTATATTCTCCCTTAATGAGTATTTAACCTGTATGTGAGAATTTGTTGGTTCAATGCCTAAATAAACTCTATAGCTAAGATTAAGACCCTGTCTTAAGTAAAAATAGATTTAAAAGTCAGTAGCTAACTTCTTTTACTTGCAATGCCCACAATAACACAAATCCCCATATAAAGAGAAATTGGCATTATAACACCATTGATAGTTATTCTATCGTTCATTAAAGTGTTTGGTATGTACTAGCATGACATTCATTGCCCTAAATTGCTACTGTCTAAAGGAATGATCTTAGGAATATAACAATTTTCTTATGTGATTTTATTTCATTTTTTTTAATTAGAGAAAAACGGTTACAGGAATGGAAAGCTCTTAAGAAAAAACAAAAATTTGGGGAGTTAAGAGAAATTTCTGGAAATCAGTATGTGAATGAAGTCACAAATGCAGACAAGGATGTATGGGTTATAATTCATCTTTACAGATCAAGGTAGTTACTTTTTTGCAAAGTATTAGTATATTAATGTTTTAAGATACATATTCTGGTTTTAAGGGTTTATAAAGCACATAACAAAGAGTACTCAGGAAAAGGAAATAAATGTGTATATATACATGTATATGTATAGAGTCATTGGCTTCTGGAATTAAATTAGGTATTTTAATATATTTTCTTGTCTAATTTAAAAAACTTGTAATGCTTTTTAGAAAAAATAAAAATTCTTTGCCAGTTAATTTAAATAAAACTTACAGAGCCTTGTCTAGGTAGCTCAGTTGGTTACAGCACCATCCTGATACAGCAAGGTTGCAGGTTCAGTCCCGGTCAGGGCATGCACAGGAGTCAACCAATGAATGCATGGAGGGATAAGTGCAACAATAAATTGATGTTTCTGTCCTTTCTCTCTCAATCTCTCTCCCCACCCCACTCTCCTCTCAAATCAATATATAAAAAATTTTAAATAAGAAATAAAGAAAACTTACAAAAAGTTTCAAAGATGTAGAAATAAGGATAAAATGAGCCCTCTAAATACTAGCCAGGTAGATTCAACAGTTAACATTTTGTCATATTTATATCATTTGTGTATGTATTTGCAGAACCATTTCGAAGTAAACTACACAGGCATGACACTTTTATCCTAAGCACTTTAGCGTGCATCTTCAGAATATAGGGGCATTTTTTTATATAACCACATAACATTCTTTCACCTAACATAGCATTTTCTCACCTAACAAAATTAACAATAATTCCTAATAGCATCTAATACCCAGTCCTTACTCAAAGTTTCTCAACAAACTTCAAAATATTTTTTATAAATACATATATTTTTGAACAAGATTAAATCAAGGATCAGGCAGTGCATTTGGGTATATTCTATCTCTTGTCCTTTTTAACAGAACAATTCCCAAGCATTCCCATGTTCTCCCCCAAACAGGTAATTTTAAAGTACCTAGTTATACTAAGTATAATCCATATGTCCCCCTGCCTGATCAGTCTGATATAATGATAATTGGGAAGAGTGGACTTTTCCCCAACTCTGTGCCAAACAGGAGCTGCCAACTCCCACAGCTTCATAAATCTCTCACGGAAACAGCACCTCCAGGGTTAGGTCTGAGGCCCTCTGTCTGGGCTTCAGGCCAGTCCAGGAACACAGGCCGTGACAGTAGCCCTCATCGTCCTTATCTCATTCTGGAAGAAAAAATGCCTTCTTGCTTCAGGTCCTCAGAGAAATTCTGTACAGAGCAATTTATGCAAATAGGAGCCTTGCTGTTTACCAGCTCTCCAGTTCCTCAGACCCCATGAAAGAAGACATCATTTCTACTCTAACTCAAATGCTTGGTAAATACTTTTTTAGTAGTTTAAAGTCTTAAAAATAATCATTTCTCCTTTTCCTATCCCATTAATCTGGCTAAACCGATTTGGAGATTTGCTGATTTTGGTTCTTCACAAATAAGTATGTGAAACAGTAACATTTACAATACGAGTATTTGTGTGTCATACACTGAAGGTGTGCACTGAATGCCTTTTCTGAGACCCATTATCCTTAGCAGAATAGATGTTGGTCCTGAGTTACCTATCAAACCCTGTCATTAAATTATTTGAATGGTTATTTGTACATAAGTTACTAGTTTTGACCAATAGTCTTCAAAAACTCATAGAAGAGGGTGAATGCATTTTAGTCTCAAGGTTTTACAAACTGTCATATGCTTTGAGGAACTTAAAGAGTAAGGGTTCATTTTTATAATACTTTAAATATTTGTGAACTCAGAAGGTATTAGCTTTTGTGACATTAAGAAAATGCATTCATGTGTCAGTATAAAACATACATTTTTAAGAAAATTAATCTATAATCAAATTTGTAAGATAAAAATGTTAAATTATTTTTATTAAAGTCTAGTTATTAATAATGTATGTACTCATAATTTTTATATTATAAAGTGAAATACAACTATTAAGTTTATATTTCTAGCTGCACTTTATAATTATAGGAGGGTAAGAATTTGTTTTTTTACCAGAATCTGAAGTTTTATAATTTTAGTATTTCTTTGACACTAAGTTTTTAGAACAGGATATATGTATATGCTGTAAACAGAAGAATAGAGAGTAGTTATTAGAAGGAGAGAGAGACTTGTAAGGGGCTCTTTAAAATTTTACTAACTTCAATGTGTTTATGTAAAGTGAAGAAGGAAAGATTGATAAAGCAGGAAAAGAGGGAAGCAGAATAACAGAGTAAAGTCCCATAGAAAATGGAAGAGGTGGAGGTCTAGCTCTGAAACATTTTAATAAAGCTGTGAGTGAATGATGGACTGGGAGAAAATAGACTAAAGAATAAAGGTAGTGGGAGTTAAGTGATAAAGCAGAGGACTCACAGGGTTTGGTCACACATGCAGTCAATTTTAAATTTCTGGATTATGGGAAACAGGATGTGGCATGGACTGGGATTTTAAAGAAAAGTGTGGGTGATATTTGTGAGAGTCAAGGAATTCAAGGAAGTTTAAGATAGAGGGACTTTTTAAAAAATTATATTTTATTGATTATGCTATTACAGTTGTCCAGATTTTTCTCCCTTTGTTCCCCTCCACCAACACCCCCACACTCCCTGAAGCATTGCCTGCACGATTGTTCATGTCATGGGGTCTTACATTGAAGGTATTTGTCTACTCCATTTCCTATACTGTACTTTACATCCCCATGGCTATTCTATAGTTACCAATTTGTACTTCTTAATTCCCTCACTCTTCACCCATTTCTCTATACCACCCTCCCATGTGGCAATCATCAGAACACTGTGTCCATGATTCTGTCTCTGTTCTTCTTGGTAGCTTAGTATGTTTTTTAGATTCAAGTGTTGATAGATATGTGTTTATTGCCACTTTATTGTTCATAGTTTTGATCTTTTTCTTAAATAAGTCCTTTTAACATTTCATATAATAATGGTTTGGTGATGATGAACTCCTTTAGTTTTTTCTTGTCTGGGAAGCTCTTTTTCTGCCCTTTCTTTCTAAATGCTGTCTTTGCTAGGTAGAGCAATCTTGGCTGTACGTTCCTGCTATTCATGACTTTGAATATTTCTTGCCAATCCCATCTAGCCAGTAAGGTTTCATTTGAGAAATCAGCTGACAGCCCTAGGGGAACTCCCCTGTAGGTAGGTAACTGCTTTTCTCTTGCTGTTTTTCAAATTCTCTCCTTATCTTTAACCGTTGACATTTTAATTATGGCATGTTTTGGAGAGGGCTTCTTTGCATCCATCTTGATTGGGACTCTGTGCTTCCTGGACTTGCATGTCTATTTCCTTCACCAAATTAGGGAAGTTTTCTGTCATTATTTTTTCAAATAAATTTCCAGTTTCTTGCTCTTTCTCTTCTCCTTCTGGTACCCGTATGATGTGAATGTTGGAAAACTTGAGTTGTCCCACAGGTTTGTTACACTGTCCTCTTTCTTTGGATTCTTTTTCTTCTTTTCTCATTGGTTGTTTTTTTCTTCCTTTATGGTCCAAATTATTGATTTGAATTGGGCTTCATTCACTATACTGTTGTTTCCCTGTAATTGTTCTTTATTTCAATTAGTGTATCTTGCATTTCTGAGTTTTTTTATGCTGTTGAGGTCCTCACTAAGTTCCTTGTGCATACTTATAACCAGTGTTTTGAACTCTGCATCTGATAGATTGCTCATCTCCATTTTGTTTAGTTCTTTTTCTGGAGTTTTGTTTTGTTCTTTCATTTGGGCCATGTTTCTTTGTCTTTATTTTGGCAGCCTCCCTGTGTTTGTTTCTATGTATTAGGTAGAGCTGCTATGACTCCCTCTCTTGGTAGCATGGCTTAATGTATTAGGTGTCCTATGGGATCCAGTGGCACAGCCTCCCCTATCACTCAAGCAAGGTACTTGAGGTGCTCCCTTTGTGTGGGCTGAGTATACCCGCCTCTTGTAGTTGATCCTTGATGGCTGTTGGCAGGTCAATGGGAGGGATTTACCCAGGCCAGTCAACTGCAAAAATTCACTGTGACCACTGACCACCAACTTTCACCCTCCATGAAGGATCAGCTTTGCAGGCATAGCATGGTGGTGCTCTAGGATAGTCTGTAGCTGTCCACTGGGTGTGCTGGCACTGCTGTTTCCTGGGTGGTGCAGGCCAAGGCCAGCCCCCATTTGTGTTTTGTCCAGGGCTACACTGCCTGAGCTATAAAGCAATCTGAGATGGCCACTACTTGTGCTGGGCTTGGAGATTCCTAGGCAAAGCCAAGCTGTGAATCTAGGCGGGCTGCTGCTGGTGCTAGGCTGGGCCACTTAGCAAGAGGTAAGGGGAAGTGGGTGGGAACTCACTGAAGCCAGCTGTTGCTTGTTTGAAAGGATTTAGGAAGTTGTGAAGCATGAGCCAAGACTACCCATTTATATGGAAAAGCCACTGTTAACAGCTGTAAGTTGGGTGGGATGTATGTGGCCTCAGGGGATCTCCAGTGCAGAGAGTAGGGAGGGGGTGCCTAACAGTGTTAGCCAGGTTGATGGAGTCTCGGATATGGCACCAGCCTGCCAGTTCTGTGGCTCTGTGGTGAGAGGGTTCAGAAAAGGAACAATGGACCCTGCCTGTCTTTCTCTCTGGAAGAAAGCTGTCCCCCAGCTCTTGCCTTGATGCCAGACACTTCAGTTTCTCCCTGTGTGCCATGGTGCCTTCCAAGCTGCTACCGCAATGCTGGAGCTCAGAGGGAGTGGGTCTGAGTAGGTGAGTCCCTGTGTAGGTTCTTTAAGAGGAACTGCTTGGGACTCCAGCAGTTTCTTCCACCAACTCAATCTGCATTGGTTTTTACAAATAGAAGTTATGGGGACTTACATAACTTACAGGACTTACATTCCTGGCACTCGAACCCTGGGTTTTGTGGACCAGTTTGGGCTGGGACTCCTCACTCCTGAGATATCCTTCCTGAATTTTTATCCACCACATGTGGGTGTAGGCCCATCTCTTTCCATCTCCATCCTTCCTACCAGTCTGGATGGATGAGGTTTCTTTGATTCTGTACTTGTCAAACTTCCACCAACTCAATTTCTGATGGTTTTGAGTGATGGTTATTCTATAATTTAGTTGTAATTTTGATGTGGTTGTGCAAGAAGATGAGTCTGAGTATCTTGACTGGAAGCCCAAGAAATGGACTTTTGGGTTTGATCATCTCAGGTGAAAATAAGCCTATGATGGTTAGGATCCCTTTGTTTCAACTCTGCACTGCCATGGAGTCCCTAGGAGTGTTATTTATTTTTTCTCCTATGTTCCATAAACTAGAAACTGGCTTGATTAAATTGATGCTAAGTCAGTCATGCTTAGCTTTAGCTAGGCATCAGATTCCCATGGTAGCGAGCTTCATTCCCAGGCTATAATGGTGTTTGCAGTGAAAATCAGAGGGCTCTATAGTTTATCATTACTAAAGGTAACAATAGATGATGATAATTGATATGTTCTTAGATATTGTTAAAAGAATATCTAAAGATATATTTTTGTCATGAAGATTTTCAGTTATTTTGTTAAGCTGATATGAGTAGCTTGTTTTTTTATTAAAGATATTGTGTATACTGTTTCTCTTTTTAGCATACCAATGTGTTTGCTGGTTAATCAGCACCTTAGTCTTCTAGCAAGAAAGTTTCCAGAAACTAAGTTTGTTAAAGCCATCGTGAATAGCTGTATTCAACACTACCATGACACTTGTTTACCAACAATTTTTATTTACAAAAATGGCCAGATAGAAGGCAAATTCATTGGAATTATAGAATGTGGAGGTATAAATCTCAAGCTAGAAGGTAATGATGTTCTTTTAAAAATTGTTTGTAAAAAACAGGTGAAAACTTCACTAAATTAACAAATATCATGAAAGTTCATATCCACAAAACAAAGTTTTTCCCTTTCTTCCAGCTCTTCTCAAATGCCTCCAGATTAATTTCCTACAATAATAATGTTGTCATAACAACCACTTGCTTAAATCCTTATTGGTTCCTTGTCTCAAAAAGTTAAAAATTTAGAATCTTCTGCCTGAGAATTTCAGCCCACTTTTCTAACTGTATTTTTCGATGCTTACCAGTTTCTGCTCCAGCCAGGCTGGTCTTCAACTGCTGCTCCAGACACTGCTCTCGTTTGTTCCTTTATACTTCGTTTAATGCCCTTCGTATGTACCCAAAACACCCTACTCTTCTTTATTTTTCCTTCCAAATCCTATTCCTTCATGTGTCTCTTCCTCTTCCATTTATCCCATTGTATGATTTTGGTCCAATTCATAATCTGTCTTCCTGCTCTTTATTGAATTTCTATAACATATATTCTCTATGCAATTTACTTTCCACTGATCCACCTACTGTCTGATTTTGTTGATTAATTCCCTTTGAGTTTTCTTTTCTTAACACGTATAAGGACCATACCTCCTATTATTTTCTTTTCCATAATACATAACACAGGACTTTGTATTTTTACCTTTTCTAATGATTTTTACTTCCTGACATAGTTCAAAAGCCATGTCCTTTACCAAGTCATTTCTTGGAACTCCATTAATTTTGTATTATAAAAATCTTTTTCTCTTACCATCGTGTTAAAGCCATTGCAGATAGTTGTCTTTAATTGCTAGTTTATTCACTCTTTTTTTCCCTTAAAACTGTTTTTGGCCTTACTGAGACCTCCAATACTTTAATTGTTTCAGAATTATCCCTTTCTTTCTCCTAGTCTTGAAGGTGCCTCTTTGTTTTATCACCCTGTTTTCTAGCTTGGAATGTATTCCTTTATTTAAATTTTTTTAAATAATAAAAAAACAATAATATGCCAGTCATTCATGTAATTACAAAAATAACACATGTGAGCATTTGTTCATGTTTGCTTCAGCTACTTGGTTTTTTTTGTTGCTGAAATTAACATTACAGATATAGTTGAAGTTACTTATATTTCCATCCCTAGTACCATTCCCTTCTTTTCCTCCCTAGAGGCAATCACTATCATGAATAATGTGTTATCTAGTCCATGCTTCTTTTTATTAGTATATTAAATATTTTTAAGTTGTCATAAAGTACACATAATGTGACATTTACCATCTTAAACAATTTAAAATATATAATGCAGTATTATTAACTATAATTACCATGGTGTTGTTTGCACATCCAGGATTTTAATACATAAATAAGTTCTTTACCCATTTTAAGGTATATAGTTCAGTGGCATTATATACTATTACATTGTTGTGCTGTCATCATGATTATCCATCTCTATAACACTTTTCATCTCACATAAGTGAAATTCTATACCAATTAAACAGTAACTTCTCTCTCCCTCTCCCTCTGGCCCTTGACCACTACCATTCACCATTCTACTTCCTGACTCGATGACTTTGACTCCTCTCAGTACCTTGTATAAATGAATCATACAGTATTTGACCTTTTGTGACTGACTTATTTCATGTAGCATAATTTCCTTGAAGTTCATTTATGTTGTGCATGTATCAGAATTTTCTTCCTTTTTAAGGCTGTATAATATTCCATTGTATGTTTATACCATTGTTTGTTTACCCTTTTATCTGTTGATAGATGCTTGGGCACCTTCTGTCCTTTGACTATTGGGAATATCCACCATAAATATGATGTACAAACAATCAGTTTTAGTCCCTGTTTCCTTTTTTAATTCTATTTTATTGTTTATGCTATTACAGTTATCTCTACTTTTTCCTCCTTTGCCTACTTCTCCCCAGTCCCCTTATTCCTACCCCGGGCAATTCCCATACTGTTGTTTCTGTCCACGGTCATGCATTTATGTTCTTCAGCTAATCCCTTCACTTTCCTTCATGCAGTGCTTCCTCCCTCACTCCCTCCCACAGCTGTCAGTCTGTTCCATGTATCTATACCTCTGCTTCTATTTCGTTCATTAGTCTATTTTGTTCATTAGATTCCACACATAAGTGAGATCATATGGTATTTGTCTTTCTGCAACTGGCTTAATTCACTTAGCATAATAGTCTAGTCCCTATTTCCAATTCTTTGGATATACACTTAGAAGTAGAATAGCTAAGTCATATGGTAATTCTATTTTAATTTTTTGAGCAACAGCATACCGTTTTCCATACCAGCTGCACCATTTTGTACTTTTATCAACAGGGTGTAAGAATTCCAATTTCTCCACATTCTCACAAACACTTGTTATTTTTTTAATAGTAACCATCCTAATGTGCGTGAGGTATTTTCCCACTGATTCTTAATATTTCCTATGTTATTTTTTATGGTTTGAAACGCTTCAGTTTGTTTCAGAAGTCTCTGGTCTTCCACGGGTCTATTTGCCTGCCCCTGAATCAGTGCAGCATGGTCTTAATTACTACAGCTTTATAACAATCTAGTTGCCTCTAGTGGGAGCAAGTCTTTTTCAGACTTTCATATACATGTTGGAATTAGTCATGTTGATTATGTCTTAAATTAACTGTTGGAGACTTGATATCCCAATAAGAGTGACTATCTCTTTCTGTGAATGAGATGCATCTTGTCATTTATTTTGGTCTCATTTTATGTTTTTTACAATTTTCCTCATAAATACAATAGGCATATGTTACATTTTATAATTTAATGTATTTTGTAATTTTCCACAAAAGTGTGTTTTTTAAAAAACTTCTCATCAATGTTCTCTTCATTTATATAGTACTTAGGAATAAATTTGACAAAATGATGAATTTTCAGGGTTTGGGGATTTTTGGTTATTAATTCAGTTCTTGTTCTTTTTCTCCTGTTTATATTTTGGCATTTCATATTTTTGTTGAAATTTTCCCATTAAAGTTTTCAAATGTATTGGCATAAGTTTCTTCATAAGTAGCCTCAGAGCTTTAAAATCTTTACTTTGGTTATGTCCCATGTAAATTCTTGATATTATTTGTTTTTTTCATATCTTGTCATCATTTTTTCCTGAGTTGTGTCTGTTAGTCTCTGCAAACCACTAGCTTTCGATTATGTTGGTCACCTCTATTTACTTTGTCTTCTTACTTTTGCTAAAGTCCTTCATTATGTCTCTCTTTCTGCTTTTCTTGGCTTTATTTTATTGTTCTTGTCCTAGCTTCTTTTTTTTTATGTCACTCTTTTTTTAATATATTTTTTTATTTTATTGATTATGCCATTACATTTGTTCTATTCCCCCCCTTCATTCACCTTCACCCTGCACACCCCCTTCCCTACCATTCCCCCCCTTTAGTTCATGAACACGTGTCTCAAGTTCATTAGATTCTATATTTCCCATACTATTCTTACCCTCCCCCTATCTATTTTCTATCTACTGTCTATGCTACTTATTTTCTTCTCCTTCTCCCACTCCCCTGTTGCTAACCCTCCACGTGATCTTCATTTCTATAATTCATTCCTGATCTAGCTGTCCTCTTAATTTGCTTTTGTTTTAGGTGTGGTTGTTAATAACTGTGAGTTTGCTGTCCTTTCACTATTCATCTTTTTTGTCTTCTTTTTCTAAGGTAAATCCCTTTAACATTTCATATAATAAGGGCTTGGTGATGATGAACTCCTTGAATTTGATCTTATCTGAGAAGCACTTTATCTGTTCTTCCATTCTAAATGAAAGCTTTGCTGGATAGAGCAATCTTGGATGTAGGTCTTTGGATTTCATGACTTGGAATACTTCTTTCCAGCCCCTTCTTGCCTATAAGGTCTCTTTGAGAAATCAGCTGACAGTCTGATGGGAACTCCTTTGTAGGTGACTGTCCCCTTATCTCTTGCTGCTTCTAGGATTGTCTCCTTCATTTTAATCTTGGCTAATGTAATTATTATGTGCCTTGGTGTGTTTCTTCTTGGGTCCACCTTCTTTGGGACTCTCTGAGCTTCCTGGATTTCCTGGAAGTCTATTTCCTTTGCCAGAATGGGGAAGTTCTCTTTTATTATTTGTTCAAATAAGTTTTCCACTCGTGACTGTTTTTCTTCCCCTTCTGGTACCCCTATAATTCGGATGTTGGAGCATTTAAAGATGTCCTGGAGGTTCCTAAGCCTCTCCTCATTTTTTTGAACTCTTGTTTCTTCATCCTTTTCTGTTTGGTCATTTTTTTTCTTTCCTTCTGGTCTGCTCCCTTGATTTGAGTCCCAGTTTCCTTTCCATTACTATTGGTTTCCTGTGCATTTCCCTTCATTTCACTTAGTTTAGCCTTCATATGTTCCTCTAATTTGTGACTAAAATCAACCAGTTCTGTGAGCATCCTGATCACCAGTGTTTTGAACTGTGCATCTGAAAGTTTGGCTATTTCTTCATTGCTTGGATTTATTGGCTCTGGGGCTCTGAGTTGTTCTTGAGCCATGTTTTGATCTGTTTGTGCCTTTTACTTTTGAGAAGAGGCACCTTAGGAGTTCACCAGGGCAGGCCACCCGTGTCGCTGGGTTGTGATGCTGTATGTGGGGGTGGGGTCAGAGAGCGAGCGATGGCAGTCCTCTCCACTCGCCCCTGCCTGTTTATCTGAGTGCAAATGTGCGAGCCCACGGCCCTGTGTCAGGGCCTGTTCTGTCTGTCTCAATGCACGTCTCTTCACTGGTTTATCTGTGTGCAAATGCGCAACCGCAGCCAGCCAGCCACGCAGCGCCTTCCCTGGGTCCGCCCGTAGCTACCTCGCACCTGGGATCCAGGCCCTTGGCTGCCTGCATGCCACCAGGCCTGGTCGGGGGATCTTTTTTGCCTGACCCGCTCCGATGCTGGCTTCACCCCTCTCACTGGTTTAGCTGAGCGGTACGTTGTTTTGGGACTCCGTATTGTTCAATTTTCTGTGGTTTGGTTGCATTTATTGTTGTTAAAACTTTCATGTTTTTAGATTTGGTTGTGTGAGGAAGCAAAGTGTTTCCACCTACGCCTCCATCTTGGTGGAAGTCCTATCCTAGCTTCTTGATTTGAACTTTTAAACCACTATTTTCAGTCATTTTAAAATAAAAATTTTAACCATAATTTCTCCCTTTAAGTATAATTTTGCTGTACCTAATGTGCATTTTAATATTGTTGTACTCTCATTGGCATCTTAGTTCTAAATAATTTTTCCACATTAATTGTATTAGAGTTGATTTCTGTTTCATATAGATGAGAAACTCTTCATTTTTCTAAGATTTTAATCTACCTTAATGATGGGTTATTTATTGCAGAACTTGAATGGAAGCTAGCAGAAGTTGGAGCAATACAAACTGATTTGGAAGAAAACCCTAAAAAAGGCATTGTAGATGTGATGGTGTCTTCAATTAGAAACACTTCTATTTATGATGACACTAACAGTTCAAACAGTGATAATGATGATGCCAAGTAGAGGGAAGGAGTTAATAAATAGTTTTAAAGTGGTTGTGTATCGAATGCTTTGTTTGTCACTACTTTTAGAGTCAGAGATTACAAAAATTACAGATTTATTTTCAGTTTTTTAAAAATACTTTTGAATTTTGTTGTTGTTCAAGTACAGTTTTCTACCTTCCCCCCACCCTTCCCCACCACCCCAGCCATCCTCACCTCCCTCCCCTTTTTCCACCCCACCTTATTTTTGTCCACGCGTCCTTTAGAGTTGTTCCTATAAACCCTTCACCCTTTTCCCCCATTATCCCCTCCTTTCTCCCGTCTGGTTACTGTCAGTTTGTTCTTAATTTTAATGTCTCTGGTTATATTTTGCTTGCATGTTTGTTTTGTTGATTGGGTTCCACTTATAGGTGAGATCATATGGTATTTGTCTTTCACTGCCTGGCTTATTTCACTCAGCATAATGCATTCCAGTTTTATCCATACTGTTGCAAAGGGTAGGAGCTCCTTCTTTCTTTCTGGTGCTTAGTATTCCATTGTGTAAACATACCACATTTTTTGATCTATTCATTTACTGATGCCCACTTAGGTTGCTTCCAACACTTGGCTATTGTAAATTGGGCTGCCATAAACATTTTTATGTTAGAATTATAGCTTAGACCCCATGTCAAAACTTTCAGGTATTTCAGAAATTGCCTCTAACAATACCAGTATTTATACTGAATTCTTAATATTTGCCTTTATCTGATCTGTCTTCTGATCCATGTTGGACAAAAACACTGATACTACAAGTCCCCTGTACTGCCTACTCCCTTCCAAAGAAAGGCCTATGAATGAAAATAATGAAAACAAACCATGCCATTTTGTTTAATTTATGTTAATAAATCTTAAAGTCTATTATTTAGGGGCCCTGAGTGAAAATACTTAAACTTATGACAATATGCTTTTTTTAAAAATTTCTTACCTATGAAAAAAATTAACCACTCAATATAAAAATGCAATTTAATGACTCTATAAAGGACATAAAAAACATCTCTACTTATTATTATTGTTATTAATAATTCTGTTAAGTCAGAAGATTAATGCCCTGGCAGGTGTGGCTTGAACACCAGCCTGTGAACCAAAGGGTCGCCAGTTCAAGTCAGGGCACAGACCTGGGTTGTGGACCAGATCCCTAGCTGGGTGTGTGTAAGAGGCAACCACACACTGATATTTCTCTCCCTCTCTTTTTTCCTCCCTTCCCCTTCCTCTAAAAATAAATTTTAAAAGTCTCTTTTTAAAAATTAAAAAAAATTAGTAAGTGCTGTCGTTAAGAGACTACAAAATCATTAGAACTGTGTGACAATTTCCAAATCAGAAGTGAGAAAAATACGTTGTGAAACCTTACCTGTGTTTTAATCGTAATCACAGAATAATGCATCATGAGAAAAGATACAATATTAGGATACTCTAAAAAGATCTGCAGGATGTTTTATCTTGTCCTAATAATGAACACCATTTTTAGAGAATCTAAATAATCTATCACATAATAGTTCAATATCAGATTTTATTCTTCTACTTTGTACTGATAACCTATCATTCTGACTGTAGTTGTTCTCTGATTTTGTGAGAGAATCTGGACTAAGTTCAAATGATTAGTTTACAAAAACAAATTGGTGAGAAATGAGGCATTTTAACCTAGAATCAAGAAAAGGCTCTTTGCTGCTCTTGCAAGTAGCCTGGGATCACAGAGGCTGCACAGAATGATGAAGAGCAAGGAAAGTTAAATACAGATTTGAGTAAGGTAATGATCATTCATTTCCCCAGGTAGGCTAAAATCAAATGATCTTCCAAAGAATTAAGAAGATCCCTTTATTTTGAGATAGAAAAAAAGGGCTCTTGAAAATATGCATTTTGGGGATGAAGGGAAGGAAAGTTGTGAAGAACAGTTGGGAGTTGCACATGATGGTCTTTATTTTAGCATTCTGCACACGAATAAGAGCAATAATTACTTACACTGGCCCAACTTCTGAAGTTTTCTTTAAAAAATGACTGCATAAATTTCTATTCAAGATAAAACCATGTGGAAATGAAAGGAAAAGCCATATAATCATAAACTTAAAATCTAACTTTAATGCCATCTAATGCATATAAATATGAACATAATTTTTCCTCCAATTGAAATTTATCCCTCCTAATAGAGAAATTTCTGTCCCTCTAAGTTTAATCTTTTTTTACTAAACATATATTTAACTTTTAAAATTAAAATTAACAAAGTACTAATAAATAGTACTTAAGACACCTAATTTTTTAAATGCCTATTTCCCTTTTAACTCTTAGCTCAAATCCACCAGATGGCAGTAAAAGTGTTTACACACAATCACAGTTCAGGAAGACTTTAACATTTGTCAAAATCCCCCAAATATAGCATGTAAATAAGTGGCTGGTTGTGATTCCAACCCCAGCCTTTTTCAAATGTGCGTGCGCATGCACATGCACACACACATTGTCCTAGCACGTACTCTTGCCTGCTGACACTGGTCAGTACTACTTCCCTGTGCTACTTCATTTATACCTCCTCACGTAGGTAAGGTATAAATACTTGTTAGAAGGTAGAGGTATTATTTAATTTTAATATTGTGCTTCCTATTTAATTAATTTTTTATTTGAAGGGATGCAAACAAAAGGGTTTTTAATTGCCAAAATTCATCTGTTTTTGACCTACAAAAATGGTTGACCTATGTTCCAACTCAGTATTTTTCTCTATTCCTTTGCTACCAACTGTGCTCTGTTAAAACTCCCTTCCCTACCTTCTAGTGCCGTGCTTGTCAAATAGTGGTCCTGGAAACAGCAGCATCTCCAAGGAGCTCGTTAGAAATGCACAGTCTCTGGCCCCATCCTAGACTAACTGAATTGGAAATTTTCTTTTAATGAGATCCTTACCTCATTAAGCAGCATTGAGTGGCAAATACCTGAAAGACATCTTGAACATATTCTTTAACCTTTTTCTCCACAGTCTTGGTTACCAGAATTGTATCTTGTTTAAAACTCCAATCTCAGTTCTAAGGCAAGTGTTCTCTGGCTGAACTTGTGACTCAGGAACTCTGAACACAGAAGATGGGGTTTGTTTAAAACCAATTCTTTCTCTGTCTTTTCAAAGCCTATTTCCTCTGGTGTGTGATGGGAGACTGGGGGAGAAATTAGGGAAGAAAAGGATACATTTCTCTCCACTGGCTAAGTATAATCTATATTGCATCCAAATGTTCATTCATTAGTGGGCACACAGTTCTATTGCAGAAACTCTGTGGCAGCCTCTCCACTGCAGTTCCTTGATGTGGGAGATCAGCCTACAACTTTCTCTTTCTAAATCGCTCTCAGGTCCCAAATTTAGAAGCATACCCAGCCTCTTGCTACTTGGAATTTCTTTCCCCCTTGAGTGTCAAGATGGTTCAAACCTGGATGACACTTTCTACACAGGATCAGAGGATCAGTGGAACAGGAGAAATGTACACATCCTTGCCATGGCAAATGTAGGCGCGCACATTGCTTTAGTAAGCCCATTCTCTGGCTGCTGTTTCTTTCCAAGTCTCTATCCCCCTGTTTATCAACAAATATGCTAGTGGATTAGATGCTGATCTCTCCTTACAGTTCCTTCTAGTTTCTCTAGCTGATTCTAATGGAGCCTTTTTTACTTAATGGAGTGGGGTGGAGGATAATTGAAAGGGAAAACTGGTACTGTTCAGGAACCTGACTAGCTCCAATGATTCTCTTGTCCTCCTCTTCCCAAGTATTCTGCTTATATGACCTGAGAGTGAGGGTTGGAGGATTTGACTATGGAACTAAGGCATTTTGTCCAGTTTTTGTTCTGGCAGAAGGACTAGGTATCTGGCCTCCAATATCAGTGCTATTTAGAAGGGGAGTAGCACATGCTCTTTATTCCCCATTTTGGACTTTACTCAGCATCCTCTTACACAGGTGTTACCTGTGTCTACTATAGTGTTACATACTTTTATCTTTAGAGAGGAAGGGAAGGAGAGAAGGAGAGAAACATCAATGCGTGGTTGCCACTCATGAGTCCCCTGCCAGGAACTGGCCTGCAACCCAGGCATGTGCCCTGACTGGGAATCCACGATCGTGTGGTTCGCAGGCCCGCACTCAATCCACTGAGCTATGCCAGCCAGGGCCAGTGTTACATACTTTTATGGATCCTCAAGTACTCAATTACTAACACAGTACTAGTACATCATATTTTACTTATTTCATCTCTCCATTGTACTTTAATGCACATTAGTAAGGCTACATCTTGACAAAACTATAAACTGCATACAATCATAATGATATAAAGGTGATCCTAAAAATCTTCTAGCATGTCTTACCTTTCATCTTATTCATTCATTCAATCATTCATTTACCTCAGACATTGAAATGGATGCTGCATATATAGTGGTGAACAAAACACATGGTGTCTTGACTCCTGGAGTTTGCCATGTGGTGTTGGGGAAGATAGTGAATGGATAAGAAAACAAATATCAAACAAATGTACAAGGTCTGTCCAGAAGGTATCCATTCAAGTAATATAAAAAATAGAGACATTTATTCAAGAAGATATAAGATACCAGAAACATTGTATAGAGGACAACGATGACTCAGTCCTTTTCAATGTAGGCACCTTGGGACCTCACACAGTTCATCCAGTTGCCATCAGCTGCCCTGTCATATTTTCCTAAAAGTCGCTGACAGTCTGAAATCTCTTCCCTTTCAAAGGTAATTTCAATTTTGAGAAAAGTCAGAAGTCACAAGGTGTCAAATCAGGGCTGCAGGGAGGCTGAGTCACCTGGGTGATCTGATGTTTTGCCAAAAAGCTCTGCACGAGACATGATGTATGTGTGGGTGTGTTATCATGAGGAAGCTGCCAATCACCAGTTGCTCTAGCTGTGGCCTACTGAATCATCCAAATAGTTTCTGCGAAGGGATGTTCAAGCTTAACACAAAATGTGATGCAGACTCGTTGCTGTACTCACTCAGTATACATGATGGTCACACAGTACACATGCTCACTTAACAATGGGTGTCTACCACTCCCACTGACTAGTACACTGAAATTGTCATTGTTCACACATGTGCCTTCCATCCACTCTCCTTGGCTGCCAGGTTATATCAATGTCATCCAAACCATTCTTGTTATATTAATAATGGTTGGACTTTTTCCAGACCTTGAATGTGTAATTTAAATTTCTATTATAGAGGAAACAGCACAAAAACCCACAATAAGTGTGAGTACTACAGGGGGAGGGGAGAGGTGAGAGGTGGGAAGGAGACCTACTTAAATAGGGCAGTTAGAGCTTTGAGACATGAAGGCTGAGGAGGGGCCAGCCATGAGAAAAGATAGGAGGGTGGTTTGGGCAAGGGCACAGCTTGTGTCAGAGCCTGAGAATAGAGAGGTTAGCAAGGAACTGAAGGAAGTTTCTGGATTGGGAGTGTCAGGGGAAAAGGAGAAATGGTAGGACATGAAGTTGGAGAGAGAGCAGGGGCTAGATGAAGCAGGCTACAGTGGCCATTGTGGATATAATGGTAAACAAAGGGTTTTAAATGGGAACATGTGGTTTCCTTTATGTTTTCAAAAGAATATTCTTGCTGCTCTGAGAATAGATTGAAGGGGACATCCAAGATATTTGAAACACTCAAGAGGAGACATCAGGTATGCAACTGAACATATGTGTATGGAGCCCAAAGGAGAAGTGTAGGCTGGAGTTACAAATCTGTGAGTCGTTTCAACCATTCCCAGGGGTCAACAAAAAGCATTAAAGTCTAAAATCACCATCTTTGCTACCCAATCTTCATGTAGCAATTTATAATTTGTATGTGATCATCACAGTTCTGAGGTATTTTCCAGACTCTGTAGATAAATACTCTGAAGCTCAGAGAAATTAACTTTCTTAGTATTAGTCAAAATTTAAGCCTAGACTTTTTAATAGCACCTCATATTACTATACTTCCCTCTTTTTCTAAGGGTCTAGAAAGAACATAAGTAATTGACTAAACCATGAAGGTTTCTCTAAAAAAAACTTACCTTACATTCCCTATTATGAATACCTTAAACTTCCTATGTTTCATTCACATTAAACTGTGGTGGCAAAACTGCCCTGGCTGGTGTGGCTCAGTGGGTTGGGCATTGTCCTGCAAACTGGAAGGTCATGGATTCGATTCCTGGTCAGCGCACATGCCTGGTTGCAGGCCAGCTCCCGTGTTGGGGGCATGCAACAGGCAGCCGATCGATGTTTCTCTCCCTCTCTTTCTCCTTCCCTTGTCTCTAAAAATTAAACAAAACGAAACGATAGTGGTAAAACTAAAACTGCCAATTAAAGGATGAATGAGAGAGGTAATATAAAAGAACAGAAAGGACTTTGACAGGACATAGGGAGCTAGTAAAATTTGAGCAGAAAAGGTGTAAGATTATACAAAAAGGAACATCATTAATAGTGGTTGACACTGATATGGGATTTCTTATGAACCAAGTACAATTACACACACACCCCTCTATCTGTCATTTACTATATCTCCTCTCAGTTATCTTATGAGATGGGATCATTATCTTTATTTTACAGATGAGGGAACTGAAGAACTGAAGAGACATAACTTGCTCAAATTCATGCAGATATTAATTGGTAGGATTGGGATTTAAATCCTGGCAGTTTAGTGCTCAATTCTATACTCTTAACCACTATGTTATATTGCCTCTATCAAGACGTCAGCTAGGGGAATCAGTTGGGAAGGGAGTTTGAAATGCTCAGTTTAAATAATAACAAGTTTAAATAAAATAAGAAGGAATGAACAGAGTCTGGATTACATAAATTGTGTTTAAGGAGAGGATTTAGGCGGTGGGACCTATAAAACTATGAGGCAGGATTTTCCTTCTAGGAAAAAATGGAATCTGGAAGTTGGAAAAGTTATTACAAATATGACCCAGTTTTATTCTTGGAGAGAATAAGGGAGAAAGGATATGTTATGAACTGAACTGTGGGAAATGTTCAAGCTGCAACAGAGTACTGGTAGAAGAAAGAGGATTATCAACAGTTCTTGGTAAATGATTAAACACAGAAAGTGAGAGAGGAAAGAGTCAAAGATGAACATGAGTAGATTCTGGTGACTAAGAGGACAATGGAACCATTAAAAAGGGCAAAGGTGTTTTTGATGCTGTATGCTCAGGATACAGAATATGAGGTGGGACCACCTTCTAGAATAAAACCCAGACATAAACATCCTAAGCAATGCACTTAAACACTTTGGTCTGGATGCAACCTACCTTATCGGTATAATGAATCTTCCTTCCTCTCTTGCTTACCAGTATCAGTTAGGATTCATGATCACTAGTGAGAGAAAACCTCTCACTGGTCTAAGCAGTAAAACAAACACATGAATTTATTGACTAACTTAAATAAATTTCCAGAGTTATCTAGTCCACATTGGATTCAGGGCATCACATATCTCTTCAAGCTAGATCTCCATCTTTGAATGTTTTTTTCCCCTGTTCTTTCTTTCTCAAAATCTGAGTAGAAAGATGGCTTCAGGTCTCCACCATTCTAGATTTAAATCTCTTAAGAGAGAGAGCCTTTCTTGGTAATTCCAGCCTGTGGTAGTCGATTAACACAAATATTATTCCTCCTAGAGTCCTACCCCAACCTTATGGACTGAGTGCAGAAAGGACAGTTCTCCAAATGAAATGATCAAAATAGGGAATGAATGCTGAGCAGGCAGAAATGTGTACTGAAATCCCTTCTGCTCTATGATGCAGTAAGTTAACAAATGCTTTCCCACTTTCCCCTGAAGGATCAGGGATCTAAGTTCAATTCTTGTTTTGTTTTTTCCCCTATTTGAGCATACAGCAAGAATTTGAAATGGTGCCCTTGTTCTATGGCTCAGTGGATTGAGTGCCTGCAAGGTCCAAGGTTAGATTCCCAGTCTACTGCACATGCCTGGGTTGCGGGCTAGATCCCCAGTAGGGGGCGCGCGAGAAGCAACCACACATTAAAGTTTCTGTCCGTCTTTCTCCCTCTCTTCCCCTCTCTAAAAATAAATAAAAATCTTTAAAAAATTAAACTGGTTTAAAAATTTTTGAAATGTTTACTGACGTGATTGTTATTTGAGGGAAGGATTTTATAGCTGTTATTTTTTGAAATAAGATGTTTTCTATTTCAAATCAAAAGGACATTCATTAAAACATAAAAACTACTAGGAATTGGAACTGTAAAGACTTCTTTTCCCATAACTCAGAACTACTGAAGTATAATTTTATGTGTGGACCAAGTGTGTTTTCAGAATCACGGGGAGTAATTTTCTTCTAATGTAAGCAGGAAATTTTCACACGTTTTTCTGAGGAGAAAAGGGGGCCTAATTTACTGCTGCATCCATCTTCCCTTATACTATCTCTTGGCCTTAAGGGTTTCTGCCACATGCTGGTGGCCAAAGGGCACCAGAATGTTATTGGGGATTAGACCTCGGTTCAGCCACCTTGGTATTTGAGTTCAAATTAAGAAAGAATTAAGTGCCAAGACTCAAATGCCAGTAAGTTTATTTAGAAAGTCACAGAGGTAGAAGTGGTGAGCCAGCTGGGTTGCGGGTTGGACCAGGAAACAAATTACGGAGGCAAAATAATGGTTAGGTTCACGGTTAAAGGCCAGGTAAAAAAAACTCCAAGTGAACACATCCTGACCTTCTTTTGCCTCCCTTCAGCCAAGAGCGCCTGTCCTGTCTCCCCACACCTACCCACCAATAAGAAGTGGCCCAAGCCATGTTCCCCTGGGAGAGGAGTAAAGGCTGCGTCTCTACAAGTTCAATCGTCTTTGCAAACCCCTTTCCCAGCCCCAGGAAAGGACACGAGTGAGGCCGCTGGAGAGAGGATAAAAAACTCGCCCGCGAACGCACGAAAATATCTTCCCTGGCGTCTGCAAAGTCATTTCCTTTTCAAGGGCCAGAGGGTCCCCTTTTTGGCCTCCGGATTCTTCTAACAGGACGCTCTTTCTTGCTCCCCCGCATCCAGAGCAAAAGCCAAAGCTGCCTCGACCTAGCACTGACGCTCCCCCGACCGGCCGCACCCTGCACCGGCCAGGCCCCGCCTATCCCGGCTTTCCAGTAACTGGTGCGGAGAAGTGGGTGCCGCAAAGATCCCGGCTTTCCTCTGCCCCTGGCGGCTGTCGCGGACCGCGCACCGGGCCCTAGGAAGCTAGAGTCTTTCTCCGCAGTCTGGGATACCCACCACGGCTTCACAACGCCTAACGGGGCAAGTCGCATGCGCACGATAACACACCGGGAAAAGGGAGAGTGAAGGGAGGGGCAAACGCAGAGCGCCGGCCATCCGAGCCCGCGGGGTCACCGACGACGCATGCGCCGGTAGGGAGCGCAATCACAGACAGAGCTTGCGGCCGCCGGCTTAAAAAAGGAAACCCCCGACTGCGAGAGCGCGGAGGAAATCTGGCGGCCAGCGCGTGCGCGCTCCCGGTGAGTGGCGCCTCACCGGGTGGGCCCGGGGCTTGACGTCCGCCGGTAGGCTTGCCAGGGCGGCGCATGCGTGTTCCTGGTGCCGGTGGAGGAGGGGAAGGGAAGGGAGGGGGAGGAGAAGCGGACGGCAGTAGCGGCGAATTTATTGGGGGTGAGTTGGGGGCTCCGCTCACAGCCCTAGGTGCAGCTCTGGAGCCGCACTGTCTCCTGGACGTGGCCAGGTTGGTGATTCCGAGTCACCGCAGCCTGAATCCCGGGTGGGGGGAGGGAAGGAGCCGGGGCTAGCCGCACGGAGAGGGCGCGGGATAGGGTAGGGAACGGGGTGCGGTGTGTGTGGGGTTGGGGGGCGGTGGCCGAGGGAGAGGAAGGTGGGAGCTGGAGCCCAAGTTCTGACTGTCTGTAGTGTGTCTTTTCCTCGGAGTTGGGGCGGAGGCCCGCCCTGTCTGTAGGGCCCTCCGAGGCAGCTGGGGTTACCTGCGGGGCAGGGGCGGGATTGGGGTGCACGGCGGGGCCGAGTGGTTGGTGCACGCCCCGGGGCTGGGGCCGGTTCCGGCGGCAGAGCAGCCAGGAAAGCCGGAGACCCAGTGTCTAAAGGGCTGTTGCTTGGGACCCGCTAGGCCTTGTGACCCACTTTATTCCTGTCACAACTTGGGCACGTTTGGAGCGGCGCCCAATGGGGCGCCGGGGCGGCCAGCTCCTCCCGGGGAACCCCTGCCCTCCCGGCGCCCGACCCGCGCGCCACGGTTCGAGTGGTGATTGCCGCCGCCCTTGGGCTGGTTCCGTTACTGGTCGTGGTTCCGGCTTGGTCCCTGGGGAGTGCGGCTCCAGGCTTTGGGCTGGAGCGACCGCGCGGGTTGGAGGGCTCACGAGGCAGCGCGGGTCTTCTTTCCGTGAACCCGTGCCTCTCCACTCGCTGTCACAGCCGCGGCTGGCTCCTCCGCCCGCGAGGCCGGAGACTCTGTAGCTGGTCCAGGTGCTCTCGCCCCTCGCGTGAAATTTCAACACGTAGAGCCGCAGAGCTTATATTGAATGTTTTTGCTGGTGTAGTCGGCCTGTTGATTAAGTGAGCAGGAACCGTAAAGATGAAAGCCTAGGCCTCTGACCCGGCAGGTGAAAGATCGAATCAGGTGGTGGTTTCTTGTTATAAGAATGCCACAGTGTGTGCGACTTTAAGGCTTAAAAAAAAAAAACAATGTTCTCTTTTACAGTGAAAGAAGAGCACAAGAAATAAACTATTACTGTCATCGTTGATTGGACTATTATGCTGATCCCCCAAGTCAAGGAAAAAAAGGTAATATCACTTGAAGGTTGCATTTTATTTTGTAATTTTATGTGCTAAGAAGAGAATATTTTGTAATGCTTTTCCTCTGTCTGAAAAACATTCTAAAAAGGATATTAACTTTCTTTGAAAGGTAGCTGTTCGGACACCTCAAATCTGGTTTGTTTTAAAATCTTGTTGGGGAAAGAGAAACTAATTCAGGTGTTAAGTAGTTGTTGACTGAATAGAACACCATTAAAAGTTAAGCCTGAAGAAAGGAGATGAGAGTTGTGATAGAACTAGTCACGATCATCTGCGAGAAGAAGAATGAGGAAGCTTTCTGTGTACTAGCATGGAAAAATCTCCAAAGTATGTTATAAAATGAAAAAAAAGGTGTAGGGCATTGTGAATGATATGTGATTGTATGTGTTAAGGGAGGGGTGGAATATGAATGTGTTTGCTTTTCTAAGAGTAAGGGAACTCTGGGAAGATACTATAAAACCAGTAAAGATGGGGGAGAAGAAGAAGCAGTAGTCTCATGAGGGGAGGGTGGGAAATGAGATGTACACGGGGTCTTTAAAATCGGGGTTCATAAACAAGATGGAACAAAAGTCTTGCCCTCCAAAATAATTTGCTCAGTGGTTTTTGTCTGCTTGTTTCTCCTAATTTGTGGTGATTTTGGCCATTTTCAATATGGCTGTTCCTAGTATTTTTTAGGAAAATGGACTAAACTTTAAATAAAGTTTAGAATAAGCTTGGTTATTTATACATTAGTTAAGATGCTGAAGTCACAGTTTTAATTTTTAAAGATGTTTAGTCATTTTGTGTTGCTAAAATATGTAATGACATTATAGCTGGATTATGCTGTTTTCAATATAGTTTGTGTTCCTTTCTCCCTTTTTTCAGGAGTAAGTTGCATAAAGTTTTACTTTTACTTTATAAACCTCATACTTGTCAGGACAAAACAGTTGGAGAATATGAACACTGCATGAAATTGATAATAAATTTGATTGTCCAGGTAGTTTGCTTTTCACATTGGGAAGCATTTTTCTTCTTAAGGAAATAAGATATGAACTCCAGAAAAATGTAAGTGTGTGTGTGTGTGATTCTTGTGAAAAATTAAAAAATGGTATTCTGATGGTGCAAAAACCAAAATTTTTAGTGATTTATGGACTGTTGTGAACATTGTATTAGGATTTTTTTTAAGTTCTGCCAGCCTAACATTTTAAATTAGGTTCAATTTGAAAAGGAGTTTGGTTGTTAGAACAGATATAAAATTGGGGTGAGGTGGCTAATATATAATCAAAGTAGTGAATGTTGAGTAGTGGGTGACAGTTGCTATGAACATTTCTGTTACTTTACCAGTAGTAGTCCTTTTTATTGTGGAGGATATGATAGTTGTGTTATTTCTGTTTGATCTGTAGGTCTCTAGTAGCCATACTTCTGCAAAATGGCATTTATTTTTCCTTTGAAGTCCATATAGGTCTATTTAATCTCTTTGAAAAAATAGAATCCACATTTCAAAATTGTGTTTTTAAACTACAGAAGTAAACTGATGCTCTTGCAGAATTAAAACAATACGGTGTACATACATATAATAAGTGAAAACCTCCTTTGCATACTTCTACTTCTCACACCACTCCCCAGAGATAACTGCTATTAATACTGTTGTAAAATCCACGTATTTTTTGCTGTGCATTTTCAAACATAGGCTTTTCAGTCTTGAAAACTTAACTGTCTTGATTGATCATCTGCTCTGCCCGTTTGTCTCTCTGGGCTATGTTATTACCCACAGGGCAGAGAGGTGACTTGGGAAAGTTTCCCATATGATTTACCCTTAGGACATATGTATCTTTTCACTTATGAGGGGTCAGTTGGTTTGGGGTACATTTACAGAGTTTGTAGAGAGATCACTCTGATATGAGCTTTGGTTTATATTGAATTCAGGAGAAAGACTTGGATTCCATGACTTTTATAGGATACTGGACTCCACCTTCTAGGGTTTTCGCCTAGCCAGTAGCTCACAGGTTAAACTTTGATTTTATTCTCCTGTACTTGCAGACCACTAGAAAGTACCTAGAGCCCTGACTAGGTTGGCTCAATAAGTTGGGTGTCGTTCCGCAAACCTAAAGGTTTACGGTTTGATTTCTGGTCTGGGCACATGCCTGGGTTTCATGTGGGTCCTGTGGCAGCTGATCAGTGTTTCTCTCACACATTATGTTTCTCTCCCTGTCTTTCTCCCTCCCCTTCCCCTGTCTCCTTTCCCCCTCTCTAAAAATAAATAAATGAAATCTTAAAAAAAAGAAAGAAAGAAACTTAAAAAATAAAGTCCCCAGATTACATCAGCCTCTCCAGGTCCTCTGAAGTGAGCTGAGGCAGGCAGGCTGTGTCTAACTAAGACATTGATTGACTTGGTGGAGGGAATCCATCCTTTGTAGGGGAAAGAGAGAACTCTTTTGGTCAGGTTTGTGCTTAACTGAGGACAGACAAGTAGTTGCATACCCACACCTACCCACTGTTTTCCCTGCAGAAAGAACACTACTTTTCTAATAGTTCCAGAAGTGTTATTGTTGTTGTCTTTGTTTTTTTGTTTTTAAACCAAGCTGCAATGAATTACCAAGCCTTAATTCTTTTTAGGTGGTAGAGTGCAGAAAGTTCAGTTTATTTAAGACCCTTTCCTAAGCTATGTGAGATGCATAGAAAGATGGGTACAATTGACTCTGCCCTCAGTGTGTTTGAAGTCTAGCGTGGTTAAATGAGTATGTACATAATGATTATAACACAGGATAGGGTATGGTATATTTCAGAAGAAAAACATATAAAGTTTGTAAGGGTAAGACTATTTCCAACTTTCTTTTTTGCAGACATGGGGTTTTAGCAGGAGAGTATTTCTCTCAACCTTTTAAATTGTTATGGAAGGATAGGACAAATTTTGAAAGCTCAAATATTAGCTCTTAAGGACTAAGGAAGTAAGGAGTTAAGTTAATATGAATATGCCGGCCTGCCTACTCATAGCAGGCATTTTATGAAACTGAATGATGGTTTTTGTTGTTTTGTTTTTACTCTATCCTATTATAAAGAGCCATTTGATGTTTTATTTGATAATCACAGTACAGCCTCTCAGATTTCAGGATTATTCGAAATGTTAAATTAGGAAATTAATTCTGTCAGTTAACTATTGTCTACCATCTAATATGTCAGGCAGTGTTAGTATTCAAAGTAAATTGTTTCTTCCTATTACATTTCCTTTTTTTAAAGCACTTATTTAATGTACCATCTCCCCCACGTTTTAACTTCTGGTGCTGTGTCGAATTAAAATATTTATTTTCTTTTAATATTTTAAACTATGAAAGCACACAACATGGTGAAAAATCAATCAGAGCAAAACTCCTTTTTATTGTTTCAGTTTCCTTCCAGTTCTTGGCAGATGGCATAAAGTAAAAAATTTAAGTGTAGTTTTTTTTGTGGGCATTGTACCAGTGAATATTGTATTTTCTCCTTTTCCAAGTTCCAGATGAAGTTGTATGAATTATTTATACAATACTTTTAAGTGTCAGAGCAATTAAATCTTACTAATTGACTATGATTATTATAATGGCATTAGCATTTATAGATTGCTTTACAACCTTTGTTAGTCATTTTTATAACTATGTTAGATTTAATGTCTGTAAATCAAATTGATAAAATATTTCTGTATTTCTCTATGTTTTTGATTATACAGATGTTAAATTAACCTAAATGCATCCTCAAGAGTATAGTTTCAATTTGGAATTATTACTTGTTTTAGGTGTGTTTTTTTCTAAATCTTTGAAGTCGAGAGAAAGAAATCACTTGTAAAAAATGAATTTATATGAATTGCTTTTGGCTTTTATAGGATACTGTTTAGAATGTCACTTACATTTTATTTTTAAGAAATATTTTATTTTTTACATTAATAAAGTCAAATTCCATGACAGAAATTCCCATCTCTTTCTAAGAGGTACTTAATCAGGTGTTAAATTTAATCAGGTACTTAAATTTTAATTCTTACCCAAAACTGAAAATAATAGGTTGATTCATGATTAAAGATTTTATATTAAATAAAACAAAAGAAATGGGGGTTGTACTAATGAGAGTTAAACCATATGCCTAGGCTAAGAATTTGTCATTTGTATTAAAATATGGCTTTAATGTCAGTACTTGCCTATCCTTCTTAAACTTTCTTCTCCCCCTTATAGAAATAGTGTATCCCTAATGCATTATTAGACAAAAAAGAGAATAAGTTAAAATTAACTATGTAGTATTCTCTGTGTAATTTACTGGTCTTTTTTGTTGAATACTTAAGTTTTCAATTTTTAAAATAATTAATGATGTCATTTTTAGAAAAGATAGCATTAGTAATCATGTAGAGTTGATGCTTGAAAAAAATTTCAGTAGGATAAGATTCAGAAGAATTAGAATTTAAGTAGAATGATACTGAATTTGTATTAATGTCAGATTAAACTTTCTTGGAAAATAAATGTCATAAGTATATGATAAATTAGCTAACAGTGATTGATAATAATGAATCCAGGATTTTTATAATGGTATATTTTCTTTCTAAAGTATGTTTTTCTTTGAGTTATTTTTAATTAAGTTTGCATTTTGTGAGCATAAGTCATTTGGATAGCAGTGCTCTTGAACAAGCCTTCTTGGTAGGGCAGCAGTCTGTGAAGCAGTCTGTACACAGTTAAAATTTGAGCTCTAACATTTTCTACAGTAGTTTAATAGAGAAGTTTTCGACTTCTCCAGAACACTTCCTTAAAAGGAAAATCTAAATACCAAGAAAGAATCCCGTGTCACCTAGATAATTATGTTAAATTATTTTTAAGATAAATGGATATGATCTTAAAGTTTAATGCAATAGTTTTAATGTGTCTTCTGTTTTTGGAAGTTACCTATTTTCTCAGGTTTTTATGAATGTTACTTTTGATAGTGACCGCCTTCTTTTTTCTCTTTTCTCATGAAATTAGGAGATTTTTAAATGTTTATTATTTATTTATAATTTATAATGA